CCCATAGAGAGAAACAAAGAAGTCTAAGGGATGGACAATTTGTTGGCTATGTTGATGAGTCATGGGTTATAAGGATAAGAAACTAAATTGGGTATTGAGAGCAAGTGCGGTTGGTCTCTGAGACTTCTTTCACTGTCTGAAATTCTACCTTTAGCGATTTAGCCTCTAGATCTTTAAGCTCTGCAGTCTAGGAGACTTTATGGAGACATTATTCTAATTTAATAAGCAGAAATCTAATGAAGAAAATAAACTAACAAAATAGGTCCAGAAACATAGATGCACAGAGCAGTCTGATAGATCTCAGAGGGCAGGGAGGGAGGATGGGGGTGGGGGTGGGGTGGGAAGAGATTAACCAAAGAATTTATATGCATATATGCATAGCCCAGGGACACAGACAATAGTGTGGTGAAGGCCTGAGGTGGGGTGGGAGGGGGAAGTGAGGGGAAATAGGGGATTTCTGTAATAATGTCAACAATACAACAAAACAAGATGAACTTTTTTTAAAAAAGCAGGGCTACTCAGTTTTTGCCTCAGTTCTACTACTAACTGTGGTTAGACAAAATTCCTTAGCATTTATTTATAAGATGGGAATCTTGATGCCTGCCTTACCCTAAAAATAAAAAGCCAAAGTGAGAAGCAACAAGCATTTCTTTGAGATCACAGAATTGCAATTGGGGAACACAAGTTTGGGCAGAAGCCCAAATTATGTCCCAATTGCAGGATAAAGCCAGGGGGGTTTTATGGGAAAAGGAGGGGATATTATTATATGAAGAGAGGAAAGGGTTTTCTATTGTTGTTAACAACTAAGTTAGTTTTTAGCTATCCATGCTGGTTACTAGTTCTAAAGTATGTGAGTCCTTGTGGTTAGGGTGTCTGCTTTCCTGTTAGCTTACAGTTGTTTGCAAAACAATGTGGCTATGACCCAGCCCAAAAGTTATTTTGTCCAGTTCAAACATTTCAAAGGTGTAAGGGCAAGATGTAAGGCAGTTCATCCGGAATGGCTTTTCTGGCTCCATTGTAAAATGGTGCCCCTATGTCAACTTTCACACCTGCCTGATCAACTTTGATATAGGAATTTTATGGGAATACAATAATATGAAATATATATTATGAGGATTAGAGTAAACCTTTGAATAATTTTGACTAGAGGAGAGACACCTAATTGATAGATTTAGGCTAATAGGAAGGAATACTTAATATACTCCAACTGCTATCCCAAACCCCAAACCTAACCTCACCTACTCACCCACCCACCCCCACATCTTGGCAAATAATTTATATATCCTTGCTTCTCACCCCCATTTTGCAATTAAGGTACTTATTGGGTTATTACACATTAATTTAAAGGCTGCCTTAATTAAAAAGTGAAGCTATACATATATGAAAATACTTATAGAAATGGTCATGTCATTGGTCTGGGTTTAAGATGAGCAGGGGTGCAGAGAAATGGGAATTTAAAGGAGAGATGAAATTAAAGAGAGAGAGAGAGAGAGAGAGAGAGAGAGAGAGAGAGAGAGAGAGAGAGAAACTTTTTTGTCCACATGGACTTATAGACTGTCACTACAGAAATGTCAGTTTGCATGGCTGGAACATATGCAAGGGAAAAGGCTGGACAGCTAGGCTTGGGAGGTATCTGATGACCTTTGATTACAAACCACAGACTTTATATTTTATCGGGAGAACCTTCAAAGACTTGAACACAGGAGAACCAAACGACCCAATTTGTGCTGCAGAAAGATCAATTCAGCTGCAGTGTGTTGAATGGATACCAGGAGCAGAACGAGTGGAAACAGGTAGCAGTGGGGAAGCAGGGGTCACAGTTCAGGTCAGAAATGATAGCCTGGCTAAACATTTCCAGAACTGGAGAGGAAGGAACAGAGTTGACAGGTATTGGAAAATTAGTCTGACTTAGCTGGTAACCGGTTGTGAGAACTAACAGGCAGAGAGGAGGCAAAAATGTTACCCAGGTTTTTAAAGAAATTGTAGTTTTTCTGTTCCTCAAGATGTGAATTATTTGAGAAGCAGCCAATTTGGCAGAATTAGTAGAAGTTGGGAACAGGATCTTGGGAGAGATGATTTCATGTTTAAATCTGTTGAATTTGGTTAAGTCTGTGGGACATCCAAGTGAGATATCCAATAAGCAATCGCCTATATGAATCTAAATTTCTGAGCTAGAAATCCAGGTTGGATTGACTTTTGTTGTTATGTGAAGTCATATGAGTGGTGAAGATTGCTCAAGATTTATGAGAGTAACACAGGGAATATCAACATTTAATGAAATACGGCATTACAAAGAAAACTGAAAAGGAACCAGAAAAGTATGGAATGATAATCCAAAGGTGGGGAATTTGAAAGAGGAGGGTGTGGTTGTTATGCTAGATGGTTTAGACAGTGCCCATTGTATTCTGCAGCTAAGTCGCTGGTGACGTTGGCTAGAGCAGTTTCAGTGGAATGCAGGAAGCAGAAGCCAAGCCATAACATGAGGAAGCTAACACAGTGTGGAATTATCTTTTTGGAAAGACAGCTATGAAAGGAGAAAGGAAGTTAGCGAACCTAGAGAAGAACACTGAGTCATCAAGAGAGTTTAGGGTGATTTGGGATGATATATTTATGAGGGGAAAGAGTGACTTCAGAGGGAGAGTTTGGTAATTCAAGAAAGAGAAAGGGTAATTGGTGGACCAAGATTTCTTAATGCTAATAATTTTATTTTTTTAAATTTATTTTTTATTTAAGTATAGTTGGCATATAATCTTATGTTGGTTATATTAGTTTCAGATGTACAATATAGTGATTCGACATTTTGATACCTTAAATGTGATCACCCCACTAATTCTAGTAATCATCTGTCACCAGGTAAATTTATCACATATTATTGAACATGATTTTTTGAGAAATTCAAAGGCTATGAGTACTAGAGAATAGATAACAAGGATTATGCTTAGACAAGAGGAGGGAAAACTCTTCCACTGAGAGGGAAAGTATGAGAATTTACCTAGATGTAAAAAACGTTTATAGAAAAACACTGGTTGAGAAGCAGGGAGGTGCAATCATTTCTGCAAAATAGTTTTTTTGTGTGTGATGTTGGAGATGATATTGGCTGAAGGTGCGAGTGTTGGTGACAGAGGTTGGGGCTTGAAGAGAAAGATCATGTTCGAAATTTCTGCTGTGAAAAATGAGAGGCAACCAGCATGCCAGAATATTTGGGAGGTTATGAACCCAGTGGCATTTACACTGGGCTAAGTGCATGACCCCAAGACAGATGTTTGGATGGATAGTTTTATTGGATAGATTTAGGTAGCAGACAAGGTAGCAAGGAAGATGAGAGCAATAGATATTGAGGCCTACATCACTTGGGGAGAATAACCAGGAAGGGCTAAGAGACTAAAAAGAAATGAAAGAGAATAGAAGCCTCAATATGGTCAAAGGATAAGGTAACAATGCAATGAGAGTAAAAGGATATGAGTTTCTGACCAGTAAATAGAAAGCAGAGGTTAAGAGTTCAGAGTAGAACTGGAGGGTGATAAATTCCAGGATATAGCCAACGTTTGGGGTGATGGGAATAGAGTGGTGATGTGAGCCACTGAAGTTAAAGATGGCATGGAATTGTGAGGCATACACACACACACACACACACACACACACACACACACACACACACTGAGTGGCCAGATTATTATGACCACCTGATGTTTGTAGGCAAATTAGCTATAATTTTGCGCTGAAGTTGCTAGAGGGCTAGATCATTATAAACGTCTGAATAGCACAACATACCTAAGTATCATTGCTGATCAAGTTCATCCTATCATGTTGATGACTTATCCCAATGGAGATGGCTTCTTCCAACAAGACAATGCGCCATGCCATGGTGCTCGTATTGTGCAGGAGTGGTTTCAAGAACGTGAGGGAGACTTCACCTTGCTTAGGTGGCCCCCACAATCACCAGATCTCAATCCAATTGAGCATTTGTGGGACGAAATTAAAAGAGCCATCAGGCAGCTGGTTCCACAACCATCAAATCTCACAGAACTGGACAGTGCTATTCATCAGGCATGGTGTCAGATTCCTTGCATCACCTTTCAACATCTCGTGGAGTCCATGCCAAGAAGAATCGCCACAGTACTGAAGGCAAAAGGTGGCCCAATGAAGTACTGATGGGGTGGTCATAATAATCTGGCCACTCAGTATATATATAGTTTCATTTGATATAATTAGCGTACCAGAATGAGAGTACCTCCTGAATCTGAGCTCATTTTGTAGATAAAGAAACACATATCCAAATAGCTAAAATATCCATCTGTTAGTACAAAATCCAGGCCAAGAATTGAAGTCCTTTGATTTCCCTCCAATACACCAAATATTTAAAAACTTGAACCTATGCATGGTCTTCAGGGCTTCTGTGAACCACCAAATTTATATGGGTTTATATGTTGTGAACATACAAGCAAGCATTATGTTGGTGATCAAGATTAGGCTAGTTTTTGTTACCAGATTGTAAAAAGGATTAGTGACCTCTAAACAGTTAAACACCTCTACATCATGGCATGGGAATTATTAAAAGAAGACGTGGATTCAGGTTTTGCTGCTGTTTCTGTCCCGGACTGTACCCTCCTCTCTACTGCCCAGGGTGGTTGTGGAGATCAAAGTGGCATCTGAAAGGGCTTTCTGAACCATCTCAACCCCTCATCTATCTTTCTCCTGTACTTCATTCCTCTTCTTCCTCTCTCCCTCTCATTCTTCATGTCTGATGTATTTTTTCCTTGGGCAATACTCAACCCCTCTGCAGGCAAAAAGGGCAAGAGCCGTAGTAGTGTTGGATGCATAGATTAGACTTAGATGGAGACACAGTGATGAAAAAATATTCTCTAGATTATGTAAAGAGAAATGCCAATAATCTAGTCATTTTATAAGGGAGTTCCCATTCTAATCATAATGCCTAGCTATTCTTTTGGATTGATGGGACTGTATGGTTTGCTTTAATCCAGTTATCTGTGTCCATCTAGATGGCGAGGAAGCTTGGTGTGTTGGAAATCTTTCTGTTCATCTGCTTCCTAACTGTATTGGCCGCAGATATCTTCTTGCTGTTTCTGGTGCTTGAGGATACTTCAGGTAAGGGAGGTACTCATGGCTGCTGAGTTGGAAGGAATTCCCTTCAGAATGCCAAAAAAATCATCTTACTCCTTCACTCCTTGGCATGCCACCACACTGCATTATTTATAACTCACATCCATAGCCAATTTAGGTCAATCTCCAAAAGCTGTGTTCTTTTTCTGCAATTAAATCTTGAATGCTCATGATATTCAAGGCCTCAAAAGTATCATTTGAAACAAATTTAACAAGATGCACAATTAGGCCCATCAAATGCTTGTTTTTCAACCTAGAGTCATGAGGTAATAGGGCCTTCAAGGAGAAAGAACAGTTGAGGTAACTGTGCCCAATCCCATTACATTATGGCAAAGGGCATTAGGTTACAGAGAAGGGGAGGGCTGATACACTTGGCTTACATATATCAATTACAATTAGCCTCCAGTCCATATTCTGACTGGAATAGCTATGATTTCTTCGTAGATATTTTTGAAACTGTTTTCTCTCTCACACAGAAGCATCAAACAGAATGCTTTCTCCTTTAATCACACATTATACTCTAAATAAGAAAAAAGGTGTCATACAAAAATCTATTCTCAATTAGGTTTATTCTGCTTGATAACGCTTACTTTATAAATGTAGATTAAACACGTGGTAAAAAGAAATTATACTGATAGAACTTTACTGACTCAATCTCTTCACCACTCTCCACAGTAAATTGACACTTTCTAGAAACAACTATGACTTTGAAAGATGATTAGAAAACCATTGATAAAAACTGTTTTTGACCTATTCCTGCTTTTTCCCTATGAATATTTTTGGATCACAAGTCCCGTGAGATTACTGTCCAGTGTATACGGATAAGTAGTTTCTTTTATTTAACATAAAATTAGATCTTTGCACCTGCATTCATTCTAAACTACACTCTAATTCATGCAGAATGCTTCAAATTTTAAATGTTTCACATAGTGGGCTTGCCCTGATGTGTTTTTCCAAGAAGTTTCCATGAGTTGAAAAGGAGTTTTCAATTCATTTTTTTATTGTGGTAAGAACACTTAAAGTGAAATTTACCCTCTTAACAGGTTTTCCAGTGTATAATATAGCATTGTTATCTACAGGCACAATTTTGTACATCAGATCTGCAGAATTTTTTCTTTTTGCTTAACTGAAATTTTATGTTATTTAGCAACACCCTACTGTCCCCTTCCCCCAGCCCATGGCAACTATCATTCTGTTCTTTGCTTTAGTGACTTTTGACTGTTTTTGATACATCACATAGGTAGAGTCATACAATATTGGTCCTCTGTGCCTAGCTTATTTCACTTAACATAACGTTTTCAAGCTTCATCCAAATTGTTGCAAATGACCAGGTTCTTTTTCTTTTTTAAGGCTGGATAGTATTCCATTTCATGTAATAATAACATTCCATGTATATAGCATACTTTCTTTACCCATTCATCCATCAGTGGACATTTGGGTTGGGTTTACATCTTGGCTATTTGTGAATAGTGCTGACATGGGGATGCTAATATGTATTTGAGATTCTGATTTCAATTCTTTTGGATAAATACCAAAAAGTAGGCGTGCTGGATTATACGGTAGTTCTATTTTTTAATTTTTTTTGAGGAACCTCTATAATGTTTTTCATAGTGGCTGCACCAATTTGCAGCATTCCCACTCATAGTATTCACGAGTTCCAATTTCTCCACATCCTCACCCATTCTTGTTTTCTTTGTAATAGCCATCCTTAGGGATGAGCTGTTCTCTCATTGTGGCTTTGATTTGAATTCCCCTGATGATTAGTGACATTAAGTATCTTTTCATATACCTGTTGGACATTTGCCTGTCTTCTTTGATAAAATGTCAATTCAAGTCTTTAATGCATTTTTAAATCAGGTTATTCATTTGTATTTGTTTTGTTTTTTGCTATTGAATTGTAGGAGTTCCTTATGTATTTTAGAAATTGCCCCTTTTTGGATACATGGTTTTCAAGTATTTTCTCCCATTGCTTAGGCTGCCTTTTCACTCTGTTAATTGTGTTTTGTTGTTGTTGCTGCTGTTTTTGTACGCAGAATCTTTTAGTTTGTTTTAGTGTCATTGTCAGGAATTGGATGGTAGTGATTCGTTGCACAATTGTGTAAAATACCAAAAACAACATTGAGCTGTACACTTTAAAAGGGTGAATTTTATGGTATGTGAATTGCATCTCAATAAAAACCAACGAAACCGAAAGCAAAATGATCCTGGTGAACTTGTGCTAAAGAACCAGTATTTTCTCTCTGAGTAGCTTCTATGAGAATATCAAAATACCTGTCAGTACTATACCTTTTCCAAATGAGGATGGGGCAGGAACATAATTTACATGTATGGAAGATAAATACAAATATAGAATAAATATAAAATATATATTCTTTTGGTGTTTTTAAATAAAAAAATCTGTATAAGTCCATTCTTTTAATATATTTTAAAAGCAAATGTATTTAACACTTGGAAAATGTATACAAATGTAGATTGCAGCTTCTAGTGTTCATTGACTGGAGAATAGGCTGAAAGTCTGACACTGCTTCATTCCTGGAACCGTGATTATGCACATACAGATTTTTAACTTTGTTCTTTAATTTTTATGCAGGTACTCCATTTAGTCCACAGTGCACTGAGATCCCTGAATCACATAGGATAGACTGTGCGCCTGGCGAGATGGTGTCAAAGGTCAGAGGAATGGGCGACCTGCCATTGACTTCCTGGGTTTTATTTCAAAGAAATGAGTGTGTGAAGTGGGGAGAGAGTGGTGGTGGAGTAGGTTATGGAACTCTGATTTGTTTGGTGTTACTGTTTGTTTCTTGTCTTATGGAAATAACACTAAAGAAGTGAGGGAAGTAGGATAGTGTAATGGTAAGAGGAGTAGGAAATGATAGGAGTGTTGGCCCATGGGGTTTGAAATCCAGAGTGGAGGGAGAGTTGCTAGTGGAAGGTTATTCCCAGGGCAGCCACAGAAAGGTTGTTTTAGGGCTAGACCATGTATCCCTTGAGAACAGAACCCATCAAGCAGATATGAATGACTGAGTCACTTGGTGAATTCAGGTGACTTGTTACAAGAGTCTTCTGGAATCATATTATTGGCAAGAGAGCCCGATGAACCTGTGCGAAAGAACAAACATTTTCTCTCTGAGTGGCTTCTACAAGAATTTGAACTATTTGAACCCTGCTAGTTTTGATTAAAAACTGTACAATAAAGTACACTTACATTCTATTGCTTTACTTTATATTTTATATTCTATATCCCATAATATCCTATCAGGATGTTAATAAGTACTACATTAAATTTTAGGTTAAAATTAGGCAATATTGACATTTCAATAATTTTGAATCATCCCATTTTAAAAACATAAAAGTCTTTCCATTTTAACTCTTGTTTTTCTTAATATGTATTGTATTACATAAGCATTATGAAGTTTTTTCCCTAGATTTTTCATATGCATAGTTTCTATTGTAAATACATTCCATTATATTTTCTAAGTGGCACTAATCTGTGTTATTGTAATGACATTGAAAATGGAAAAAAGAGTGCCCAGCTGTGTGTCTCATTGGTTGAGCATAGACCTATGAACCAGGAGGTCACGGTTCGATTCCTGGTCAGGGCACATGCCTGGGGTTGCAGGCTCGATCCCCAGTAGGGGGCACACAAGAGGCAGCTGATCAATAATTCTCATCATTGGTGTTTCTATCTCTCTCCCTCCCTTTGCCTCTGAAATAAAGAAAAGTATATATTTAAAAGAGAATAGAAAAAGAAGAAAATATACAGAGTAGGGTACAAAAGTAGATTTATAGTTGTTTTTATGGAAAATAACAATAATTAGTAAATAATAATACAAATGAGCTCTGTTTCCTGTACTCACAACTGTAAATCTACCTTTGCTCCACCCTGTATATCCCTTAAACATCTGACCTTTGGTTTCTGTGGTACTGGTAATGGCTTAAAACTGAAATAAGGATGTTAGGGCAGGCTGCATGCACAAAAATTTGTGTTTACCTAAATGTAGCAGATTTCTTGTTTTATTGATTTTTATAGAGGTCTGTGGACTTTGGAACAATTTATGGCAATGAAACTAACCTTTTGGACTTTATAGACCTCAGTTTCAGAGGCTGCAGAAGTGCTTAATGTCTGCCTCAGAGTTAGGAAAATCAGTTTTCCAGTGGTTATCCAGCACCCCAAACTCTTTTTCCACTGACCCCCTCCAGCCTTTTGATATCTGAAGAGGATGGGGCAGGAACATAATTTACATGTATGGAGAATAAATGACTACATTAAAGAAGATTTTATAGTTATAATGTAATTGCTTTGTTTATAATAAGCATGGTGAACATTGATGTAAGATATATTCTTGTGATTTTTCAGAGCAATTATATCAGATGTCAGCATCTAAAATACTTGTCAGTACTATACCTTTTCCAAATGAGTAGTATTATGACATATTCTTTTGTTTTTTTAAATCATGAAATCTATAAGTGTATTCTTTTAATAATAAATATTCAGATATTATAGTGATGTACATAATAAAATGGGAAAGTCCTACTCATTCATTAAGCTTCCTCTCTACCTCCAAATGCTTTCCCCAGAATCAATCAATAGTTTGGTGTGTATTTTTCTCTTGGTCTTTCTGTACTTTTGCATATATTTTGCACATATATTTATGTATTTTTTTTGTTTTAACACAGATTTAATTATACTGTGTATATTATTATATAATTTGCTTTTTAAATTTAGGTCATTTAAATTTATCACATTATTATATTTTAAAAATGGTTTGCTTCTGTTGAGATGGTCATATGATTTTTTTTTTAATATATTTTTTATTGATTAAGATATTTATTTTCTTTTGTCAATGTTGCTTAATTAATTTTGAACCATTCCAGCTTTCTCTTGATAATCCTTACTTGGCTAGTATGCATTAAATTTTCAATGTACTAATAAATTAAAATTTTATACATCATTATTTTTAAGTGAAATTAGTTCACTATATATTTTTGGTTAATTGTTTATTTGGACTTTCCTTGCCTAGTTTGTTGTCAGAATTATTCTAGTTTAATAAAATGAGTCAGGAAAGTTTCCACCTTTTCCTATGTTCTAAAAATATATTGATATATAATATGAGAATATTCTATTCCCCAGATTATCTGGGCAAGATATCATTTTTTTTAAGGAAAAATCTTTGACTATTTACAGTTTCCCATGGCTACTGGTCCTTCTAAGGTTTTCTATTTATTCCCACCTAATTTTCACTATTTAATATTATACTATTTAAAGATTCAAATTACAGTTTCACATTTATTGGCAAATATATATACAAATAGCTGTCCCATAATTCTTTTATTTGTGTTAAAAAGTCATATGTATCTGTTGTTATTCCCATTTTTGTTTCTAATCATGTTTGTCTCCCTCTCTTTTTGTCAAAGGAGAATTTGATAAGAAATAATCGTATATCTTTGATCTTTTCAAAGAGTCTCCTTTAGATTTGTTGATCTGCTAAGCTAAAAGCAAAACATATCCTGACACTATAGTGGAATTATAGCAGGAATTGATACATATGCCACTGGAATATAATAGAACATCTCAAAATACATATTCATATTCTCATATATGTGCAGTTAAACTTAGTTTATAATAAAAGTGGCATTTCAAACCAGTAGGGAAATGAGGTCTATTTAAGTAATGGTGGCATCTGTCTCATTTACTATGCTTGCTGACAGCACTGTGTCATGTGACCTTATATAAATACTTGAACAGAGCAGGCACTCATTTCATATGTATTTATTTATTTTTAATATATTTTATTGATTTCAAAGAGGGAAAGAGAGATAGAAACATCAATGATGAGAGAGAATTGAATCATCTATCGCCTGCCTCCTGCACACCCCCTACTGGGGACCTATCCTGCAACCAGGGCGTGTGCCCAAACTGGGAATTAAACCATGATCTCTGGTTCATAGGTTGATGCTCAACCACTGGGCCACACCAGCCTGGCTCATTTCATTTTTAATCTCTACACCGACTTGGCTTAGAGCACTTCTTTTTCTCCACTTGTGTTTTAGACTATGAATGTATTTTCCCCTAGAGTTGATAACATCTATTTTCTATATTTCAGGAATTTCATAACATCTGGTCTGTCATATTGTATGTTTTGCTGTTTTATAGTGAATTTGTATTTTTTTTTTCTTAATGGCATTTCTATCCCTTTATGTAAGTTTAATTGGGTGAAGAGATGAGTGCTTGTGTTTAGTTCAACACTTTGAATCAGTTTGCCATCTATTAATTTATTATAACAAATGAATTCTTTTTTTAATATATTTTTTATTGATTAAGATATTACATATGTGTCCTTATCCCCATGTTACCCCCTATCCCCCCGCTCATGCCCTCACCGCGCCCCCCCCACCCCGTTTTCCGTGTCCATTGGTTAGGCCTATATGCTTGCATATAAGTCCTTTGGTTGATCTCTCCCCCTTACCCCCACCCTCCCCTACCTTCCCTCCAAGGCCCGACAGTCCAATCAATGCCTCTCCGTCTCTGGATCAGTCCTTGTTCATCAGTTTATGTTGTTCATTATATTCCACAAATGAGTGAGATCATGTGGTATTTATCCTTCTCTGACTAGCTTATTTCTTATGTAAGTTTATCTGAAAAGACATCTCACCAAAAAAGGGGAATTTAAAAAATGTATAATCAAACCTCTCTGAGAAGCCACATGTGATATTTTTAATGTCACCCTCTGTCCTAGTTCTATCTTAAGTTTCTCTATTTTCCTTTGCTTTACTTTTCTTACCTTTTAGAAAACACGTCTTCATGATTTATCATCAGCCATGTCCATGACTCTTCCTCCCGAGAAAGCTCAATCCACTTGGTTCTCATCCAGCTCACCTCTGTGCGGATGTGGTGTGCTTCCAGCCTCATTTCTCTTACTCGGTGTTCTCAGCACAATGAACTTGTGGCGTCTCTGGGTCTGTCATGCATGACTGTTTTGTTGGTTTGGAATTCTGCTCTATTTTTGACCTGTCTACCCCCTCCTGGTGCATTAGGACTGAGCTTACCTTTTACTTACCTGGAAGCCCTCCCTACCCCACTGGTAGCCTTTTAGGCTGGGTAAGAGGCCTGGTGTGATCCCCTTAGCCCCTGTGAAGAACTATGTATTCTCAGACAAAAACTGTGTCTTATCTGTCTCTACTCTTAGTTCCTTGTCTGGTAGGAAATAAGTACATATTGGATGGCTGGATAAGTGTATAAATAAAATAATAAATAAATGACTGAAAGTAATTCTGAGCGACCTTAAATTCTTCTTGGGAAAAATGGTTATAAATAAACAGACATATAATACTTTCCTTCCTTCATTCCATATAATGCTAACTCTGTGCCATTGTTACAGGAAACCTGCAGGGATAGATATGAGTGCTGCTGGAAGCCTGTGTCAGACACTAATGTCCCCAGGTGCTTCTTCCCCAGGAACTGGGGCTATGAAGTCAATGGAAGCCTTAAATATGAAAACACAGGTGAGCACTGTGTTCCCCAACAGCTCTTTTTTATAGTTGTATAATTCAATACTATTGTTATTTATATCCAAAGCACTTCTTTTTATTTATTTTATTTTTTTATTGAATTTATTGGGGTGACATTGGTTAATAAAATAATATAGGTTTCAGATGTACAATTATATAATACATCATCTGTATATTGTATGTTCACCATCCCAAGGCAAGTCTCCTTCTGTCACCATTTACCCCTCCTCTTTACCCTTTTCTATCTCCTCCCACCCCCTTTCCCTCTTATAATCACCATACTGTTGTCTGTGCCAATGAGGTGTGCTTTTCTTGCTGTTTGTTTGTTTTTTGTCTTTGCTTAATCCCTTCACCTTTTCTACCCAGCCCCCAACCCCCTTCCCCTCTGACAGCTACAACTCTTTGGCCAAATTAGTTAACTGCAAAATAAAGGCTAAATCTCTCTCTCTCTCTCTCTCTCTCTCTCTCTCTCTCTCTCTCTCTCTCTCTCTCTCTCTCTCTCTCTCTCCTCTTTTTGTCCCCCCAACTGCAGGGTTAACTGCTGGCTTGAAAAAGTTGTCAAACCCATCTCGGTTTGGAAATGATGTCTCTAATGCCCACTTCACAGCTGAGTATCAGACACCCAGGCGTCTTCGTTTTAAGGTCAGTTTGATAGTTATCATTGAATATAACTCCGGAGAACGCAGGGCGCAGCTTATTCTCCTTTATGCGCTGCATAGAAGTGTGGAAGCAGGTGTACCTCTGTTTCTCTCTGCAGGGACCTCCAGATCTGATGGGCAGGCTCATTTTTATTTGATGGGGGACAAATGATTGGGGGTTTCTTCTCACAAATCAGGAAACACAGGATTAAGAATGGGAAGCTATTCTCATTGGGGGCCATGTGGGAGTGAGAATATTTTGTAGCTCTAAAGGGAAGTTTTGTGTTCTGGAGCTGTCCCTTCTGTTTTTCTCCTGACAGATCACTGAAACCAATAACACACGCTATGAAGTCTCCCATGAGCATGTTAAGCTGTTTAATATGACTGCTGGTTCCACCAACCGGAGCTATTACATCGAGGTCATAGAGAAACCCTTTGGCATCAAAATAAGGAGGATGAGCAACAAAAAAGTCTTGTGAGCTTTTCAACACTCTTTGCATATCTTTCAATATACAGTTCCAATGTCATTCGTTCTGACTTCCTGTGGGCAGGTGATCAGCTCAGTATATTTGGGAAAATGTTTGACTCTCAGAAAAAGTCAAAGCTTTCAGTTAAAATCGTTAATGCTGTGAATATGTAATGATGACAGACCAGAAAACAAAAACTAAAATGTGATGTGCTGGTTTGCTGAGTTATATATATATACTCTTGGATATGATGAAATAGGGAATTTTATTATTTTGGATTACCACTCACACTGGAACTCACCTTCATTGTTTAGCATTCCAAATTATGATTTCCTGGGAAACTTACCATCCAGCACCTAATGAGAGCCTAAACTTAAGTTATAAATTGTGCTAGTGGACATACAAGAATTAACATCAGGAAAAGCTTGATTCAAATCCCAGTACTAGTAGGTCACCAGGCTATGTGATATGAGGCCCAGTACCTCACCTCCTCAGTCTGTTTCCTTGTCCATAAAAAGGGAATCAAACCGTCTGCTGTTGCTACATGTACTGAGGCCATGTTTATAAAGCACCCAATGTAGCGCATACATGAAGTAGATGCACAGAAAATGTAAGGTCAGGTCTGCTCATCCCGCAGTCATCCCACTTGAGTTTTTGGTATCAAATCTTCAATGCTGTGCTCCTCTAGAATTAAAGAATCAGAGACACCCTAGAAAGGCCTTCTCCAAAAGCATGAAAGTGGATGGTAAGACCTGAAACAACTGTTCTCGAAGTGTACAGGGCAGGGAGCAGACCGTTTCCTGGCAGAGAGAGCTGCTTGCTGGTTTGGTGACTCTCACTCTTCTTCCCTGGCCCAGGTTGGACACGAGCATTGGGCCTCTCCTGTTCGCCAATCAGTACCTGCAGCTGTCCTTCCTGCTGCCCAGCGCCAACGTGTATGGGCTGGGAGAACACGTGCACCAGCAGTACCGCCACGACATGGGCTGGAAGACCTGGCCCATCTTCACCCGGGATGCCACCCCCACCAAGGTGAGGGGCCCTTTCTCCTGATTTCTCACAGTGAGGGATACCTTCTCTGCTTTTCAGAAAGTAACCTACAGAGGGAGGAAAACTGTAAAGTAACCTACAGAGCTCGCCTATTTACTATTTTGCCCAATTTATGTTGGAGAGTATGTACTTGTTCTTGAGGTTTGTAAACTCACAATACTAACATATCAACTTCTCAAAACAGTTCACTTTATAAATATATATAATTTAATGACAATATTATAGCCAGTCTGCCTCCCTCCTTCCTTCTTTTCTTCCTTCCTTCCTTTCCTCCACCTCTCCTTCTTTCTTCTTAGCATTTTAAATTTAGTTTGTATTCTAGCCAAGGGCTGATGCCATAACTCTTCCTGGCTACAACTTTAAATCTGGCCTAATGTTGCATAGGTCTGCTAGTCTTCTCCACTTTACACTTCATGCCGATTCTCTTCTCCTCTCCTGGAATTTACTGTCATCAGTACAATTGCCCTATATGCCAAGGACTAATTTTGCAACATCACACAAGGAGTTTCTATAAAGCTTTCCATATGTTACAGTCTCATATATTCTATTCTTATATCCCTTACAATTATTCACATTGTCTCTTTTTATATTAGTGCTCTCATCAGAGCCCTGTGACAGGTTTAATATGTTTTCATTTTTAAAAATTTTAAACTTTATTACTACCTAAGTATTATATGTTAGTTGTAGAGCGATCAGAAAATGCAGTTACGCATAAAGAAGTCATTCAAAATTTCTCACAATATTGTCATCTTCTGCTATCATTTTATTATGTCATTACAAATAATTTCTAATTTTTAATAAATAACTTGATTGAGGTATAATTATAGACCATAAAATTCACTTGGTTTACGTGTACAATGCAATAGTTTTAGTACATTCACTGAGTTGTGCTGTCATTAACATAATCCAGTTTTAGAACATTTTCATCACTCCAAAAACTTTTACATTTAATTTCTATTTACATCCTGTCTCAGACCATCACTAATTTTTCTGTCTCCACAGACTTTACTTCTGTGGACATTTTATAAGGGAATCATGGCCTATTGTCTTTTGTGTCTGTTTCTTTTACTTTGCATAACATTTATGAGACTTACTCATGTTGTAGTATGTGTTAGCATTTCACTTCTTATTGCATAGAGTATCCCATTGTGTGGAAAGATCATAAACACACGTTGATGTTACCATTTTAATACCCTTTGGGTACAATACTAACTACAACATATGTTGACCAAGTACATGTTGTGCATGGCTTTTGGTTATATTTTGGGGTGAATTAGAACATTTTACATATGTACTATTATTTCTCTTTATGTTTGTTGACAGGGCATGATTAACTTGTATGGAGCTCACACATTCTTCTTGTGCCTTGAAGACACCAGTGGCTCCTCTTTTGGGGTCTTTCTGATGAACAGTAATGCTATGGGTAGGAAACATCATTTTACCTTGGCAGGAATATGTATGGGGATGCCGCTTTTATAAAAATGACTCATATGGTGAGATCACGGTTTAACAGGAGGTATATTGGACCTACTATGCTTCATCAGAAACTGGACACAGAAAGCAGTTTAACCTGTCTACAAATCCAGTTCATGCTGGAAGCTACTTTTATTGAAAATGGCCTCAGAGGTCTCTTTTTGTGTAATGTTTCCCATAATATTTTGTAGATGATAGGATTCACTGATAGACCCATCCCAAAGACACCTGTAGGTTCAACATGTAAAATACTGTCCGTCTGTAGCTGTTTCTCACAGCCCACCCTTTCCCCACTCCAGAATCTTCCTCCTCCAGCTTCTGGATGAGGGTTTATTTTTATTTTTAATTGTAGATCAAATGATCTAATAAGGTTGTAAACATTTTTCTTTTCTCTGAAATTAGTAGCAAATCCTAGACATTTGTATTTTTATATGGCCAGATTAAAATAGAATTTGTTTTTCATTCTCCTAAAAAAATCAATTAATTCCTCATGGGTGTTGTACTCATTTAATATTTGATAAGCTTCAGCAATCATGTAAAGGAACAGGTGTGATTTTCATCTCTTTTCAAAATGAGACAGACTGTTTTCGGTAGCTCACATATTTAAATTCTGCAGAAGAATATATTTTCAACCATGAAATTGTAATGGCTCTTATTTTAATACTTGCAGAGGTCACCCTTCAGCCGGCTCCTGCAATCACTTACCGCACCATCGGGGGCATTTTTGACTTTTACGTGTTCCTGGGAGACACTCCAGAACAAGTGGTTCAGGAATACCTGGAGGTATGGCTTTGTAGTTAGATAGTCTTTATTGCTGCTATCTCATACACTCATTGTAAATTAGCCTGGGAAAAATAAAACTTATGGGCAAACTATGGATCATATACGTTGGGATTGTGAGTCTTCCATTCATTGTGTGTTTATTCTGATGCACATTTATTGAGTGCCTTCTGTGTGCTAAGAGGCACCGTGCAAGGCTTGAGAAATGTAAAAATAAGTCATTTAGTGGGGTTTTAAACAGATGCTGTGCTGTTTTCAAGGAACTCATGGTCCAACCATGCATGATCAGTCATCCCGAAGACCTGAGGCTACAAATCAGTAAAGTTCATTCATGCAGTAAATAAAAATTTAGTGAAAATAAATTATGTACAAGGAATTGGCTCTGATATTTTAGATCTGAGAACTTAACAGATAATGAAATGGAGACAAAGTTGTCTGTATTGGACATGTTGCTACAAACAGTGTTTATTCTAAATGCTTGGACACTTCTTTATTTTTCTAGCTCGTTGGACGGCCATTCCTGCCTTCCTACTGGAATCTTGGTTTCCAGCTTAGTCGCAGGAATTATAATAACATCGAGGGATTGAAAGAGGTTGTAGACCGAACTCGTAAAGCTAGGATCCCATATGTAAGTTGGAACTTATCTTATCATAAACAAGATTCCATTTTCTATCTTTTATTTTTTGTACCTAATTCAATTTACTAGGAAAAATACAGATAGATAAATTGGTAGATGGATGGATAGATGATAGATAGATAGATAGATAGATAGATAGATAGATAGATAGATAGACACACCTACTGTCATAAATTTGCAAACTAAATTACCTATGTCATCATGGGAAGAGCGCAGTATGAAGTCAGAAGGATATGAATTTGAATTTTAGCTTTTCCTCTTTCTAGCTCTATGCAATGTTGGGCTAGTTAATTACCACCTCTGTGTTTTAGTTACCTTCTTTATAAAATGAAAACCTAAGACTTCCTCTGGTGGGCTGGTTGTGAAGAATGCCTAAAACTGTGCATGTAAAGCACGTAACACAAAGGATGAACTCCATCAAAGTTAGTTGCTATTTCCTAAGAGAAAGCACCACCTGGGTGACATGGCTAACAAGTGCTGATTATTATAATGGTGACTCACAGCGAGTTTTGCATAGTGACTGTGGATATTCTTTCTAGATCTAACATACTCATTTTGAAAGCTCTGTGGTTGTAAAGTATTTATGATGACCAATGTCCACTAGTAAATAAAAAGATCCTTATTAAGTGTATAATATTTGAAAAGTTTCTCCCTGGAGATGTATAACATATGGTTAATGAGGTTATCAAAACAATTTATTTTGGGCTCAATCTTTGGAACTGTGATACAAACATATCTTTGATTAATACCTGAAGGAAGATATTATGGGTGGAAATGACTTTGGCCTGATCTCAGAAGCTTTCAGTCTCCTCTCAGAAGAGCAATGAGGGCAGGCAATGAGATGAATTTTTCTTGTGATAAAACCTAGTCATTGTATGGTTTTGTTGTTAAGGGGAAATGATTATTATGTATTTAGTTTTACTTAACCGATATCTGCTATCAACACCCAGTTCCAGGAGGAACCAGGCCAAATCTTGCCACATCATTATTTTACAAAATGCTTTCACATTCATGGTTGACCCTCACTTATTGGTATTTTGCAAATGAGGAAATGCAGACATTGCAATGTTAATCACTTTCCTGAGGTCACTCTACTAGCTCAATGACAAGCCCAGGATTCAAAAGTGGTTCTTTTTTTTTTAAGTTAAGGTTTTGCTTTTTGTTTTAAATATATTTTATTGTTTTTTTAAATATATTTTTTATTGATTAAGATATTATATATGTGTCCTTATCCCCACGTTATCCCCTACACCCTCCCCCGCCCCCCCTCATGCCCTCACCCCACCCCCCTGTTGTCCATGTCCATTGGTTAGGCCTATATGCTTGCATATAAGTCCTTTGGTTGATCTCTCCCCCTTACCCTCACCCTCCCCTACCTTCCCTCCAAGGCCTGACAGTCCAATCAATGCCTCTCCGTCTCTGGATCAGTCCTTGTTCATCAGTTTATGTTGTTCATTATATTCCACAAATGAGTGAGATCATGTGGTATTTATCCCGAGAGGGATAGAGAGTTAGAAACATCGCTCAGCTATCTCCTGCATGCCCCCTGACTACATGTGGTATTGGTTTCAATCTCCCCCCAGGCCTCTGAAAGGAAAAGCCTTTTGAGGTCTTGCTGGTTCAGAAACAAATGAGCTTTTCTTTCATGGATCAGATCTTTCCCACCAGGTAATGGTGGATGACACCTGGGTCCTAAAATGACTGCCCAGTGTTAGAACAGATGGTGCTGCATTGGCTATAGGCCACAAGCCACATTTTCCTTCAGTCCTGTAAGTTAAAGCCTCTGACACACGACCGACTGCAGATTGAACAATTATTTAGAAGACCTTCAGATGTCTTTGAAGTATGTGGCAATTGGAACAAAAGAGCATTTGGAGTCAAAGGGTCTATCACCAAAGCCCCAGTTAACCCCCCACCTACTCCTGCATTTGACTTTGGGAAATGTCACTTAGCCCCTATACATTTCAATCTCCCACTAAAAATTATAACATCGGCTCTTCACAGGTTGGTATGCAAACACAAAAATAATGTGTGTATGAGAGTTTGGTTAATTAAAGCTCTGTCCCTTTGTCATTTATCTTCGTTACCTAGTACCCTAGATGTTTTATAAGACAAGCAGGCTATTTTCTCCTCTTGTGATATGTTTTAACTTGTGTCTAGGGTCCAAGTTAGTACATGGTAATAACATTACTCATGGGCTCATTCAAACAAATATTTAAAGAGCACCGGTTTTATTTCAAGCATCTAAGCTCTTAAATTACAGGGATGAACAAGACACAGTCCTTACCTTCAAGTTCCTCCCAATACCTTATGACAGGCATCTATCAAGACAAAGAGATAAAACTACAACCGTGAAAGTGTCCGACTCTTTCAAAAAGGGCTTATTTACTCCTAAGAAGTAGCCAAGACCTGGAAGTTCCAGGATCATTAAGAAATATGCCTTGCCCTAGCTGGTATGGCTCAGTGGGTAGAGCATCGGCCTTTGGACTGAAGGATCCAGGTTTGATCCCAGTCAAGGGCCCATACCTAGGTTGTGGGCTTCATCCCCATAGGGGGCATGCAGGAGGCAGCCAATCAATGATTCTCTCTCAAAATTGATGTTTCTACCTCTCGCTCCCTCTCCTTCCTCTCGGAAATCAATAAAAATATATTTTAAAAAAAAAGAAAAATGGATTCTGTTTTAATGATGAAGAACCAAAGTTATCAGCCTGGTGATATTGCCTCGGTTCTAATTGGCCAGCACTGTCTTCCAGGATGTTCAGTACTCGGACATAGACTACATGGATGGAAAGAAGGACTTCACTATTGATGAAAAGGCTTTCCCTGGTCTCTCAGATTTTGCCAAGAACTTACACGAACATGGACAGAAATATGTAATTATTATGGTATGTTCAAACACTATTCCATGGCCTACTATTCCATTTAAAAATGCAAAAGACATTTATAAAAATAATATTTATTATCATATTTATTTACTAGAATCCTGGCATCTTACATGATTCTGAATACCAGCCCTATAAGAATGGAAGAAAAAAGAGAGTATGGATCTTGGGGAATAAAGGCTTTGTCACTGGACAGGTAATTTCTCAAAAAAAAAATCAGTATATTACAGTTATTTGGGGGAAGTTTGTGCTTTTGGTATGACAATGAGTAGAAGGCAATTTACAGTATTATTACAGTTTTCTTGGCTTTAGAGGTTTCTGTTATTTTTAAAATAGTAGCTATAATAGTAGAATGATTAAAATTCTTAAGGATTTGCTTTCTAGTTGAAATATATTTGACATATAACATTTTATAAATTTAAGGTGTAGAGCATATTGATTTGATAATTTGATTATTACAACATGATTATCATTGTAGTGAAGGCACCTCTATCACATTACATATTTTCATTTCTTTTTTGTGGCAGAATAATTAAGATCTAGTCTCTAGAAAGCTAACCCTGACCCTCTAATAATACAGATAGTTGAAAAACAATATATTATTAGAAGAAAGTTAATTTATTCTTAAAGTTCTTCTGCCTTACAATTTATATCCCCCAGACAATAAATTCAACTATGGTAATGGAGCAAGATGCTCATAGACTAATGTGAAACCTACCTCAGCTAATATACTTTTAATTTACATGAGACTTATAGATAGAGCCCAGCCTTTATCCTAAGGTAGCAATTTCAGGCATTTGAATAAGCTGCTTAGGATCCTATTTGCAGGGCAGTTGAGCTTTCAAGAGTATTTTAAATCAAATCCTGTAGTCAATCTTCTCTTCCAATTATGTGTGGGGTCAGCCCTAGATGATTGGATGATGGAAGATTTATTAAAACTGGTACTTCATCTAAAAGTTCATGTGGCCTCATTTCTTGTTGCTCCCAGGCAATTAACTTTGCAAAATTTACCGTTTTAGGGTTATCAATGAACCCTTACCTAACTTCTCACTTAATTCCCATCATTGACTTTGTCTATGATACTTCTTTCTATTTACTTTCTTTTTCATTAATTCTAACTTTTCATGAAACAGTAGTTTCCTTCCTTCTCCAAACCAATTCTTTGCTTTTGCTGTTTTGTTTGATGTGAATTTCTAATATACCAGATAGAGCGATATTCATATATAAGTACAAAATCAGAGGCCATGGTCACATAAAAAATTGTTTTGTTTACCAGGAAAGTAGATTATCCAGACTTATGAGTCATTTCAATAGTATTCATATTTGAGATGTTTGTAATTAGGAATTTGCATATAACCACAAAAATTTAATTAGATAGTTACCTCCATTGACCAATAAATAACAGAAATCATTTGATCTAAGATGTTAGCAGAGGTAGTGTGGGTTAATTATAAAGGAATTTGGTTAGAATGAATGTTCCTGGGCTTGCTCTAGGGACAATGTCACTGTAGGTGATTCCTTTGCACACTATCTTTTCCTTGAGTTTCAAAGTTACTTCTGATTATTATATGGTGCCCCATCACCTAAAACAAAGAACCAAGACATAGATAGCTATTCATCATACTGCCTGAGCATAAAGTTGTCCCTAAATGACAATCTATAAATTTGTTGGGAAAATAAGCAAGAATGTATGTATAAAACTTTGTATCTTGTCAATTTAGAATTTTCAGTAAGTTGGCTATGACTATATCTTTGTGCTATTTGTGGACAATGTTAAAAATGAATCTTTGATAGGAATAGATAAGAAGAGAAGATAGAATAAAATATATTTGACCTGAGTAAGAAGCACAAAATGCATTAAACTGTTTAAACAAGATTGTTTCTATGCCAAAACCAACATATCCTATATAATAAAAGGCCAGAGATCGTAACGGTGTCAAAACCATAACGACCGTTAGACCAGAACCACCACAGCCCCTCACCAGGCTAGCCCTGCCCCCCAGCAAGCGGTTATGGGAGATCAGGCAGGCAGGCAGAGTGGTTAGGGGCAATCAGGCAGGTAGACAAGTGAGGGGTTGGGAGCCAGTGGTCCTGGATTGGAGAGGGTGCAGGCCGGACTAAGGACCACCCCCCCCCCCATGCACAAATTTTGTGCACCGGGCCTCTAGTTATCTATAAATAGCATTATTCAAATCAGGTTTTAGGTGATCTTCAATTAACAACACATTAAACAAAGTCATTCTCTTCTAAAATGTCATCTAGTTGAATTTTCCATATTTTAAACATGTCAATTGGCCTGACATGAAATTTTACTGTGTTTTTTTTTTTAATCAGAGAAAAGCGACATTTGCTGGCTTCTCATCTCTATAATAAGTTGTTTTTCCTTTTATTTTTTCTCCCTTTGGTTCCTTGCATCTATTTTAACATTTAGTTTTAGGAGGACAGTCACACGTTTTGATTCTAAAATGTAAGCTACATGGGCCTTCTGGTAGAAGAGATAGTAGCCAGCAATAAATGCATGTGTGAATCATCAGATAAACCACCACAAATTTCCTTGTTTTTTAGGGATATCCCGGAAAGATAGTCTTTCCTGCTTATGATAATCCAACCTGTACTCAATGGTGGACAGAAGAGCTTCAAGAATTTCATAAAACTTTGGAGTTTGATGGAGTGTGGCTTGTAAGTCATTATTCCAGTATAAAACTTACTTTGGAGACAGATATTTCTAATTTTAAGATGAATTTTAACTCTAATCTCTAATAAAATAGTTTACTTGACATAGTGATATTTAAAATCCTTTTACTTAATGTTGAGCTTATAATATACAATAAATTAGATGCCTCGACCCCCTGGATTTTAATTCTCAATCTGCTACCAACTGGTTATTTATTTTTTAAGAAAATATTTTGCTTTCTCATGGACTCAGCTTTTTCCTAAATTAATTGTGTTTTAACTTTAAAAATACTATTTTATTAGAAACTACAGGTGCCATTATTTGTAGCAATGATTTATTAAAATTTAAAGTAAATAATTAAAGAATAAATTTAATGGTCCTTTTTTTTTTAGAGGATAGCAGGTGGGGAAATTTATTTGAAATTTGAAAAATTACATTTTTGTTAGCAGGATTACACATCACCTATTTGCAAGCTCTTTTAAAGAAATGGATTTTATCTCAATTCTATCTTCTTAAGCCCTGCACTGAGTAGAATAATAGAATGGGCAAATTATGAAATAGAATATTACTCTATCTTAGATTCTTTAAAACAATACTGAGGCAATATCAGCAACAATAAAATCTCAGAAGGTATGAATTAGCCTTTGAAATAGTATTTCTTAATTAACTAATTGAAATCAAGGTATAAAAGGTTAATTGTACCTGATATAATTTAGAGTTGGAAGGTACTGTAGATACAATCTAATCCAAAAGATGAAACAGAAGTCAGAAAATTTAAGATTACCTAAGATTCCAAAATCAATAAGAGACGCCAGCTATCCAGCCTCTAGTTCAGTAAACATTCTTTAACAACTAACTATATATCAATAACATTTTCCACTTTGTGTATTTCGTGTCTCTGAAGGAAATGGAGGAAGTATCTGTTCTCCAAGGTTCTGATCATGGGTGTGAAGATAACAACTGGAACTACCCTCCTTTCACTCCCCGTAAGTTTTCACCTGTTTGTAATGATGTAGGCAGGAGATATTTAAAACAACCTCAGTGAAACTCAGTGTAGCCAGGAGCAAGTTCACTTTCCAATGGTTCTTTTGTTTTGTTTTGACTGTTTTTATTATCTTAGTAGGGGCCTGGTGCACAAAATCCATGCACTGGATGGGGGCTGGGGGTCCCTCAGCCCAGCCTGCACCTTCTTGCAGTCCAGGACCCCTCACTCCCTACCCGCCTGCTCGCTACTCTTTACCACTCAGCTCTCTGCTCCTTAGAGCTGCCCCGGATGCGGGCCTCCACCTCTGCGCTCACCAGCCTTGAGCCTGGTTTCTGGCTAAGAGGCGCTCCCCCTGTGGGAATGCACACTGACTACCAGGGGGCAGCTCCTGCGTTGAGCATCTGCCCATCATGGTCAGTGAGTGTCATAGTGACTGGTTGTTCCATGGTTCAGTTGATTTGCATATTAGCCTTTTATTATATAGGATTATTTTTATTATTTTATTAAACATTTTTAATGTTGACTTAATTGCAGGTGTCCCATTTTCCATGTGCTTTTCCCACCTCCACCCACTCCACTTCTCTCTCCTTGGAGACTTTACTGTAGTGTTTAGTCTTGCATTACTCTTTTGCTGACATAATCCAAGGGCAAGCATGTGGTGAAGGTCATATCTCCCCTGGTTGTGCCTCCTCTCTCAAATTCTACATTTCCCATCCTGTTTACTTCCTCTAAACCTTTTATACATGTTACATATGGTTCAATTTTAAACTTTATGAGAATATCAGAATACTGGAAGTAAAAACTGCCTTCCATTGGAGTAAATCTGTAATATGTGTGTGTTTGTTTAGCTTATTACCAATAGCATCAATGGTTCCTGTTAGTCCTTCCAATTTATGAGTCCCATTTCCAGTCAAAGTCAATTTTCCAGTCCCTAATTTTAAAAGAATGTGTGTGTGTGTGTTTGTGAAACAGTATAGTGTTGGTGGAAACAAATAAATTCTAACATCTAAGTGAAGTACACAATAAAAGTTTTTGCTCATATAATATTCTAGTGTGGAATGTGTGGCTCTCATCCCAGCAGTGACTCGGGAATCCATTTACTTCCATCACCTGGTTCTCCTATCTCAGAGCCCTTTGTTTCCAGCTTCCTAGGTGAAGGAGAAATAGAAGGGTAGAGGAGATTTATGGATAAGCCTGGAAGTGTGTGTGTGTGTGTGTGTGTGTGTGTGGGGGGGGTGTTCAATTTGTTCACAGAATCCAATCACATGACTCTGCTAAACTTTCAAGAGAACATGTGAAATATAATCTTATATTCCTGGGGAGAAGACGGCTTGGTGAGCACCTGGCCAGTCTCTGCCAGTTTCTTCTGGTTTCTTCACTTCACTGGTGCCTTTGAGCCACAGGTTAGCTGTTTCTTTACTCCTTTAAGAACTTTTTAGGAGGAATCTTGACTCAAACCAGCTAACTTCTTGCAAAATCTGTTTCTTTCCCCCACTTATTCTTCTCTGTTCATTCTGTGTTCCCCCAATTTTTTTCACTGTGTATCAGTTTATCATGTTTCTCTTTTAATCTCTTAATATTCTACTTAGCCAAAAATGTTTTCTTTTGTTTCCTATAGAACATTGAAATCTCATTACCTTCTGTCTGCTTCTGACAAGGATCCTACTCCCTACCTCTCAGCATTTTGTCTCCTACATATGATAAACTGCTCTGCCTCTGGTCTACTTTTAATCTTTTCAGGATTAGAAAATACATCTGTAATACTCTCAACAATAAAGATTTTAAAAAAAGAAAGTACACTGTCATGAAAAAGATTTAGATATATTACCTTTGCTCATGGGAAGATCTTAGTATCCTTTCTTATCTATATATATAAAAGGCTAAGTATCTGCCCTTCCCTCTGACCGGTAGCTATGACATGCACTGACCACCAGGGGGCAGACGCTCAATGCAGGAGCTGCCATGATGCACACTGGCCATTTAAAAATAAACGGCACCATGGACCTGGAGCTGACAAACCAACACTCAGCTTCCCCCAAGTGGGACACAGGCCCTGCTGCCACCCCAGAGTGACATCTCAGCAAATTGCAGCCAATGCTGCCAAGACCCCATGGTGCAAAATGTGGCCCACAGCCCAACCCAGCCTGGAAATGGTCGCTGTGGGCACCAGGTAATGATATCACTTAGCAACACCCAGCTTCCTCTCCCTAGCAACTAGCCTCCTTGGAGTTTCTTTAGCCCAGGAACCCAACTTGCTTTATAGCCAGGTGCAAACATTTTATAGTTTAACCAAATGTTTGTGAAGCATTTTCATGTGACTCATGTCATTTGATCCTCACAGAAGTCCTGGAGTAGGTAGATAGGACACTCAGTAGAATCCTTTTCATTAGCTGGGAAACAGATTTAGAAAGTTTAGAGACTTGACCCAACTGAAAAGAAGTAAGAAATGGTGGAACTTGAAAATGACTTCAGGTTTTCTCACTGTGCAGAATATAGTCAAACACTGCTGTAGTTAAAAATTGCACCCTTTGTTCTCCCTGCTGATCTACAATAATAATCTGATAATAATCTGCTTCATGTTGATATTTACTGCTGTGCTGCTGACAATTACCTGAAGAGAAGTTGCGGTGCTTCACTGGGCTAGAAAAAGTTTAGCTAAATCAGAAAGCAGGTCTAATTAAGCAGAGTGTATTCTATATATATAAAAGGCTAAGTTGACTCGTGCATGCACCATACATATAAAGCTCTCGGTGGCACCAATTGCACGTGTGTGTTTTGATCTGTCATTATTGATCATGAATTTAGTTGACACTTCTATTATAGAGAAAGGACGAATAGTGATATTAAAATATTTTTTTCTAATTGATTTCCTTTCAATGTTCACGAATCCATGCACTGGGACACTAGTAATTAATCTAGTTGTGAATCTCAGGCCACAGACTGAGTCATGCCAGAAATATAATTGTCTTTATATTTTATAATTAAACATAATTTCAATCTCTGATTCTGCTGGGCTGGTGAGAAAAACTCAACCTCAGTCTTTCCTGGCTCTACCACTTTCTGGAATTGTGCCTCATATCTTATGAACAGGCAAGGCTTCATGAAGGAGGGCAGGAGGTATGGCCCCTTGGTACTGGTCTTCAAGTAGAAGAGGAAGAATGAGATTGCAGGCCACAAGACAGAAGTGTTGTTACCATTTTAGGCATAAGAAAGGGAAACAATGACTATGCTGATTTCTAAAGGCAGGATCTAAGTTCTCATTCATGAAAGGCCCCAAATATCTCATTTTTTAAAAAGTGTAACTGAGGTGTGAAGGCTTGTAATTTCAGAGTGTATATGTTACCTTTTCACTGCCCTCCTATCTGTTCTTCATACATTCAATTCTCCTTGATTAAATATCTGTAGTTATGTGTGTACTTTATTTATATTTTATCTCAGATCAACTTTCCATTGCTCTGAGTTTTTTTCTCCGTTGCCACCACTCAGCACCATTCTTTGTGAGCTCAAGAGAATGAAAATTGATTTTAATGATTTACCTCAGTGAGGGGCTTAGAGTATGTTCCAGTTAGGAAGAGGCATTGGGATAGGATTTGAAATCTGAAAAGAGTTTTACCAGGTAGAGATTGGTGGAGAAGGTACAGGAACTTGGAAGCAATTGGATTAGGTGGTTATTTTGTTAGAGCTTGTTGATAGGGAAGTGGCTCATCAATGGGTGTTTTCCCACAGGAGTTCTGGACCGCTCGCTTTTTGCAGGAACCCTCTGCATGGACGCCGAGGTTTACCAGGAGCTTCACTATAATGTCCACAGCCTGTATGGCTACTCCATGGCAAGAGCCACAGACTCGTAAGCACTGGGTTTTTCTTCTACTTTGAGATTTGGGGAGCTGGGAGATAGAGGGTTTCTCTTGTCATTTATAGATATATTTTTCAAATATATTTTGTGGTTATGTGGATCTAGAAACTCAGATCTTACAGGTTACTTAAGAGGTCTTCCTATATAATTCCTTGGCTTCTGTGCAGGATTATTGCTTATTGGCTTGTGACTAAGGACTTGATATTAGTAGACAATAATGTGCAAGGTATTTAGAACCTCCAAGTGGAAGTCAGCCCTTGCTTGGGTTCCAATACTGAATGTGCTATGGTCACCACACAAGAATTGCCTGATCTAGCAAATAACAATAACAGGATACCCAGTCAAGTTTGCAATGGACATATGTACTGTATACTAAAAATTATTAATTGTTTATATGAAATTCAAGTGTATTGAGTATCCTGTATTTACATGGCAATGTTATAGCAACCCCTCCTAGCTTTCCTCCCTACTTCCTGCCCCAGTCACCCTCTCAACTCTCCCCTCTGCCCTAAGACATACACAGTACCACTACCACCATGGCTACTACCATTACCACCACCACCACTACCACCACGCCACCATTAGCACTACCACCACCATCACCACCATCACCACCACCACCACTCAATATGAAAGTCTAACAAAGAGACAGATGCTTCCTGCAAAAGATTCAGTCTTTTACATACTTTGTCACATTAATATTTTGCTGCGACTTTGTAAATTGAGGAAAAGCTCTCTGCAAAATCTTCCCCTGCCCACCGAAGTGATAATTTACAATCATTATACCTAAGAGAGCAAGAAATTAGGGACTAAGATTAAGAAGATTTTAATTTAAATTTATAAAACAGACAGGGAAACTAAAGTCTTTGAATATTTGTTGGGGACCTTCAAGTGGCTTAGGAAAGAATGTCTTAGTTTTTCTCTACTTATATCCTTTTGCTTTGGTATTTCTGGAATACCATAGTGGGGAGTAGGGGCAGGGAGACTTTGCTGTTTTCTCAGTCCTTTTACTTGACTTCTCTAGGGTACATAACATCACTGACAACTCCTTTGAAGCTTGGTTCCTTTAGTTCTGAGACACCGCTCTATCTGGGCATACCTGCTCTTTTTCCAGCTGTCCCTTCTTAACCTCTGTTCCTTTTTGACCTCTGGATCTTTTTCATGTATTCTCTCACGATTGATAAATCTTAGGGGTCAATCCCTAGACTTCATTTTTCATTCTCTACCAATACAAAAATAATTTATTCCTTCTCATCTCAGTTTTTACTGTAATTTATTTGATAATTTTAAAATTGATAATTCTATAAATCTATAGCTTAGATCTTTCCCCGATTTTCAGGCCCAGATATCCAAAATTACCTTCTGATCTTATCTACTTGGATGTCTTATAGTACCTCCAATGCCATTCACCTTACTGTTACCTATTTCTGCCAGACCCCCACAGTCTAATCATTTTTGAAACTGCTCAATTCCCTATCTTGGTTGGTAGCAACACCATCACTATCTCCCAGACTCTGAAGTGAGAAACTTGGTATTATCCTTGACTTATTTCTTTTCATCACATCCACTTCTACAATCAGGCTTCAGACCTTTTGACCCTAAAACATGCCTATAATCACCTCCTTTTTTCCTCCACTGACACTTTTTAACGAAGGCCATCATCATTAGTCAAGTAAAACTTACATGAGTCCCATGACTACTGGTCTCCTCTCCCTGACTGTAACTTTATTTCCTACTCATATCCCTACTCTTGCTATTCAAAGTATGGTCCAAGGACTAGCAATATTAGTATCATCTGGAAACATATTAGAAATGTAGCACCTTGGCCCTCACCCTAGACCTTGGAAATGAGAATATGAGTTTTAACAAGATTCCCAGGGGTATTGAATGTATGTTAAAGTTCCAAAAGATCTACTCTCTACTACTGTTGAAGTTACCTTCTGAATCACATGTCTGCTCATTTCTTTCCCCAGTGAAAATCTGCTCGCTTCTTTCCCCAGTGAAAAATTATCTTTGGCTTGGTATCTTTATACAATAAAATCCAGTCACCCCAGTTTCTCTGTCACTCAAACCTATAAAGTACTTCATAACTTAATGGTTTCTTAGTATTTTCCTTTCATCCCTGCTACTCTTATATTTTATGCTCTGGTAAAACATAACTGCTCTTGCTCCTGAATCCAAATGCTGTTTCATTATTCCATGTCTTTGCATGTGTTGCTCTCCCTGCACAGGATTCCCTTCTCTGCTCGGTCCATTTTTCAAATATGCACTTATCTTTAAAACCTCCCCTCAGATGTTAAACCTTCCTGACAGTCCTAGGAAAAGATTACCCCCACACCGACCCCATATTTTGTGTTACCTTTGTTCATATTGTACTATGCCTAATATCCAAGCACTTGTATTATAGTTTTTAGGTATTTACTTTTTTTTTCTTGCTGGACTATCAATTTCTTGAGAGCATAGTCACCCCGTATTTTCTTAGCCTATGGAATCATGTGTATACTAAAGGCATGGTTGTTGAATAAACGCCTGGCCTGAGAAAGAGAAGAAAAATGGAACCTGATGAATTAGAGGCATAGACTGGGCCTATTTTGTTTTCCAACACCATTTTGTCCTCATGACTTAATATTATTCTGGATTGTTCAATGAGAGAGAGAGTCCATATCCACTAAATGCGAAAGTTTTTTTTTAAAAATATATTTTATTGATTTTTTTACAGAGAGGAAGGGAGAGGGATAGAGAATTAGAAACATCGATGATAGAGAAACATTGATCAGCTGCCTCCTGCACACTCCCTACTGGGTATGTGCCGCAACCAAGGAATATGCCCTTGACCAGAATCGAACCTGGGACCCTTGAGTTCACAGGCTGACGCTCTATTCACTGAGCCAAACTGGGTAGGGCTAAATGTGAAAGTTTTTATTTCAATAAGTGAAAAGCTTCAAAAAGAGGGACACACATTTCTGATTTCATTATCTTCCCTTTTCTGACTTGTTTCTCTGTCACTCAACTTTTCTGGGAAGTAAACTAGATGAATAAGACAGTTCCCTCATCTTTAAAATGAAAATCTTAGATTGGTGTTTCCCATATTCCTTCTTGTTCTGATCTATTTTGACTCATGGATGCTTCTAAGATTGAAGGTGGGAGGAGAGTGGATAAATGGCCAGGATGGGAAAGAAAGCGTAAGGGAAGGCGGGAGGAAGGAAAGAGAGTTTCAAATTGCTTCAATGTTCAAATCTCCATATGATAAAAGTACTATAAAATCACATTGGGATTGGTTAATATGTTCTGAAGCTATGTCAATAATGGTTAATAGTTAAAAGGTCAAAGTTCCCAGAGAACAATGGAGATAAGTGAAACAGCCTTCAGGCATCAGACAGAGTTGGTTAAAAATCAGATAAGATTTTCGTTCAGTTGGATCTGGGCATCAGGAGAATTTAAATCACAGATCTGATGAACATTTAGCTCAACTTTTGCTGGAAGTATAGTTTAGGGACAGTAGTTACTGGTCTACAAAGAGAATTAAGTTCACTTTCCTTTGGCTTGAAAGTAGGAAGAAACCAGATCCTCTCAGATATCAAGACCTGACCATAAGTAAGTCCAAACTGAGAGATGCAAAATAGAGACTTAGGGATCTCTGGGTAAATATTTCCTCTTAAGCTGGAAAAAAAACCACCATGTTATCTAATCAGTGGTACTATAATGGGCTGACTCTAAATAAACCCTAAATTCACTTAACTTCATTTCCTGTTTCAATTTCACTTTACATAACTTGAATGTGTTTCTTTAATGACTGAGGATTGCAGGATGCAGTAAACCCTCTAGCCAGTGGTAATAAACACAAAGTATTGCCAGTCCTTATAAAAGGAGAAATGAGGACAGGAGTTGAAGAGTGAGTCCTTTCCATTCTATCCCCATTTTTTGGTCATTTAATTGTCAGAATTTAATTTTCTTAAACCAGTCTTCTATTTCAGAATTTCCTTCCTTTTTCCATTATAAGTTGTTCTGCACGTGTACACTCCCCATAACATTCTTAGGAATGCAAAGAGGAAAAGCACTGGTGGCTGTGATAGTGCCTATGAGGAATTGCCCAGTGCCTGATGGTACACTGGTCTCAGACCATGTGTTGGAAGGAAAGATAGTAGAGCTTGCCTGCAAAGAGCTAGAAGCAACTGTGGCTCAGGTATCACCATCCAATAGTTGTATTATTGTTCAATTTTAAAACACTAAAGGTAAGTGTGAACTGTTTAGGAGAGGAGAGAGCAGGGAGAGGCCTAAGCAAAATAGTGTTCTGAATAAAAGCTAGGAAAACAGCCTACATCTTACTTCATGTTATCCCATCCCACATGCCCACATCTGGTCTGAATTTCTCGTCTTTAATTCCTTTGTTTTACTTTTTATATAGTTTTTACTTGATATGTAATATTTTCTAAGTAATACAATGAAAATATTTATATTTTAGTTACTTTTAACTTCATTAAGAGTGCCATATGCCATCTTTTGAGACTTATTCACTTCAAGTAATACTAGTTTGCACAGATTAAGATACCCTAACATTAGGAATTGTTAATAATAAGTTCTGAAGCTTCAGAGGAATCGGGTTCCTGGGGCCCAGACTGTGTACAAAATCTCCTCTTAGGCAAAGAGCAGGTAAAGGGTTCGGACCTGAGCTGGTGTTGTACTAAACAAGATTATGAATGGCAGCAAGCCATGGAACCCAGGTACATTGGAAAAACTTTCTCTAGAGGGAGAAGATAGGGCCTATAGCCCCTCATTCCAATGTATCACCGACCAAAGGGGCCAGAGCACAGGCAGATCGAAGATGGAGGAAACATAATCAGGAGGCCAGGTGCCTCGAGAAATTCCTTGAGGGTACTGACTGTAGAGGTTTTTATTGTCTTATATGAGATCTGCAACCTTACCTAGAAGTGAGAAAGAAGCTCTTAAAAATGCTAATTCAGTTTGTTCTCCTTCATAATACCCTGATGTTTTTTTCTCAGTTTGCTTTTTTTCTCAGTTTGCTTGGACCTTTGGTATAGGTCCTTTGGTTAAGTCTTTGACATTCACAGTTCATTTCACATTCATTTGACTGTATTCCTTTTCAGGGCCTTGAATACTGTCTTCCCCAAAAAGAGGAACTTCATCTTGTCCCGTTCTACTTTTGCTGGGTCTGGCAAGTTTGCAGCTCATTGGTTAGGGGACAATGCAGCTACATGGGATGATCTTCGATGGTCCATCCCTAGTATCCTTGAGTTCAACCTATTTGGCATCCCCATGGTGAGTTTCACTCTCAACCAAGGAGCTTTGACATTCTTTCCATTACCAGTCTTTGAGGTGTCTGAAAACCAGTGAGCATACAACTCACTTTGATATGTATTGGAAAAATCAATTTTTGTGTGAGCTGCCTTCTGATGATAGGATGGTAACACTCTATCATTGGCATCCATGGACTCTCTGAAGTTAGAAAGGAGACTCCATGAGTAAAATGTATCAGTATCACAGAAAAAATCCATCAAAAGTGCATCAATGATAGCAAAGCATGAAATTGGGAACTGAATATTGAGGGTGAGCCCTTAATAAAACATACAACAGTCAGTCTTCCTCTCAACAGTCAATCCATGATTGCACACTTTCTTTATTCTCCCATTTGGCTGGGGGCTTGCCCTGAAACCTTGGGACCTCTTTAAGCATGGAGTGATGGGAATAAGAGATTCTCATTTCCTTTATCACATAGGTATACAGTCAATGCTTTCTCCTCTCTCACTGACCACTGTGCTGTATGTATGCCTATTCTCCAGGTCGGTGCCAATATCTGTGGTTATAAAAATAATACCACAGAGGAGCTCTGCAGAAGATGGATGCAGCTTGGAGCATTTTATCCACTATCCAGGAATCACAATGGGCCTGGGTTCAGGGTAAGGTCCCCAAGAGAAGTGATGGAAACTTCTTGGGTTATCTAATCTACCTGTTTTCAAAGAGGGAGTTGAAGAAAATACTCCAGGTTGGCCCTAAGTGAAGGAGGAGAATAGATAAATTTTCAGTGATAGATTAAAAAGTAGGGTATGGGGTGATGGTGTGTGGAATATATATATATATATATATATATATATATATATATATATATATATATATATATATATAATGGTTTTATTGTTAAAAACTCACCAACAAATGTAAGAAGGGTTGCTAAAGTTTCTATGGTGCTATTATCAGTTCTGGTACCACTTTATATAAGATAGGACAATTGGCATCCATTGATATTTTCCTTCAGTTAATACAAGGAAAACCACTCCTAGATATGGGGGATCAAGGAGAAAGGATTAAGGGAAGGCAGGCCAGTGATCTGGAGGGAGTATTTCCTTCTTATATCCTTCTAGTTCTTTGTGTAACATTTTTTCACTTTTTTACAACATTCTATCTTTCTATGAATGGTTTGGGAGACCACTCCCTACTACTTCTCATGACATATCCTGCATTTCTCCTCTTCTAACCAAAATCATATTTTGATGGCAAGTCTATAGAAAGGGTTCAAAGTCTGTAGTAAGGAGATGTTTATCATGATGGTGATGGCAAGAACAAGTAGGGTGGGATGCTCTTTCTTTTAATGAATAAATATGCAGCTGAAATGATTTAAATTAAGTGATTTAGCTATTAATAGGCACACTAGAGTAACATACTGATAATCATTTTAGTTCTAGTTCTTGCCTTTGTCCAATGACATCTATAACCTGGAAAAGATCCGTAGTCAGATATTCAAAGTATTTTAACCCTGGGCTGTCCTAGCAGAGAGGGATGAACTATTTCTGGATTCCCAGCAGATGACCAGAAGCAGGGAGGGGCGTGCTCTTCCTGAAGAGATGGCCTGGAGAAATTATGTCCACAGGAGCACTCAGCTCACTCTGGCTGCCAGCTCACAGTGCTTGTTTTCTCTCCTCCCAGCTAGTGCCAGCCATAGAATGGTAATGGAGCCACACATGGAAGTTTAAATGGGAATTGAAAAAGTACAAAGGAACAGGAACAATTTTTTTAATCTATTTTATATAACTCTTTATATAAATCTATCTTTACCATTATTTCAACCCATATTTTATACAAAGTATTAATATGAGCTATTTTATATTCTTTTCTTTCTATAAAGTCATTAAAACTCAGTGTGCATTTTGCACTTGCAATACATCTCAATTTGGATGCTGGAGTGAAATGTAGTCCTACCAAAACAATAAAGTTATGTTTATTAGAGAAATACTTTAACATTGATTCAGTTTTAGGTTTATATTTAAATTAACTATTATCAAATATAATTAAAAGTGTAGTTCCCCAATCTTACTAACTACGTGATTGTATCGCAAATCAGCGAGCTGGACAAGACACCTAATGAGCCCATTAGTTAGGAGTCATCTTTATTGCATGCAGGTTCAGAGCAGATTACCTCTGTCAAATTCTGAACAAACACAGGAGGGAGTATTTCCTTCTTATATCCTTCTAGTTCTTTGTGTAAGACAGCTTGTAACCTTGAATAGATATTATATCTAATCAAACAGCTGTACTATCTATACAGACAACTTGTAACTTTGTGTACATATTATATCTAATCAAACACCTATAACCTTGGATGAACAAACACTTGGCAGAATATGTGAATTAATATAGTGTATCAGCTCCTTTAGATGGCTAGCTTGCAAGGTCAGACAATTAAGTTTATCTTTTCTATTCAAGCAAAAAAGCAAAGTTATTTTACAGTCTAAAAATAACAGAGTTGACCCATGGAATAAGAGACTGTCTAAGAATAACAGAGTAGTTCAAACAGCAGTTTTTCCTAAGGAGGGATTATTACCATGCTTCAATATAAGTGCTTAATAGCCCCATGTGACTGATGGCCACCATGATGGACAAGGCACCTCTAGATTGTCTCAGTTGGAGACCAGATGCTGGAAGCTGTGGAGTGTTATTTTCTTGGGTGTTTAGCCTCATCGTGGTATAGAGTAGTTCTATTTGGAAGGGGGAAATGGGCAATTTGGGGAACAAAAGAAAGGAATAAATTTAGATAATTTTTTCTAGAATTCAGTCCCAGTAATACTATAAGGATAACAAGTTTAAATTTGATATGCACATCTTTCAAAGAACAAGGAAAATGAACAATGAACAAAATGCATGTCCATCATTGATGGAAAATGTATGTTTCTGGGTCCTAAGAGAATTAGATTTCCCTCATAAAGGGTTCTTTCTTTGCTCTTAAATAAAATCTGCTAAAAACTGTCTTCCTGATTTCTTTGTACTTTGTGTATTGAAGAACAAATAGAGGTCACTGTCTTTGGGACAGAGAAAATAAAACAAATTTTGATGGTGAAAACATTATAAATAAAACTACACGTAAATTTTAACATTGCAAATTCATAAAAGTACATAAGAAAAAAGATGGATTATAGGTCATGGTGGTTTAAGACACTGGGTTTCAATTTTTTAAAATATATTTTTATTAATTTCAGAGAGGAAACGAGAGGGAGAGATAGAAACATCAATGATGAGAGAGAATCATTCATCAGCCACTTCCTGCACACCCCCTATTGGGTGGGGATCGAGCCCGTAACCCAGGTATTAGCCTTGACCAGGAATCGAACCAGTGACTTCTTGGTTCCTGGGTTGACACTCAAGCAATGAACCCCATGGGCTGGGCTCAAATTCCTTTTTAGTGGTAGTATGACTTTATTATTTGCCAAATGAAGTATCATGAGAAACCTCAATAAATAAAATAAATTGGAACAGCTCTGAGGGAGCAGGGCCCACTATAGGCCCTTTATCTTTTTGGTAATCTCTGTAGGTTTCTTTATCATCCTGAGGCGGGGTCATGAATCAATGTCAGAAGACATGTGTCAAATTTAAACTCTGCCACTTCCTTGCAATTTTATACTGCATTTTTGATATGGTTTTCTCATCTATAAGATGAAGGAGCAGGTAGGTCCCAGATCCTTTCAGTTCTGGAAATGCTTCCACATCTTCAAGTTGGAGAACATAGCTATTTTCTTGTGAGAAAACTTATCAAAGAGGACTTTTAAACTATGATGGAAATATTTAGTAATCACTTATGTTTCCTCCTAGGACCAGGACCCTGCTGCTTTTGGTGAAGACTCTCAGCTGTTGAGTTCCTCCAGGCATTATCTGAACATCCGCTACACCCTGCTGCCTTATCTCTACACCCTCTTCTACCGAGCTCATACCCTGGGGGAAACTGTAGCGAGGCCCCTGGTCCATGAGTGAGTTTCCTTACCCACAAAGACATCCTTTCAGATTATAATTTCGCTTCCCTTGTTAGTAGTAACAAAGTTTGCTAGGACCTTGTTTTCATATAATGAGCTGCTCTCTTACATTGGAGGCTTCACCTACCTTCTCTGTTTTCCAGGTTCTACCAGGACAATGCTACATGGGATGTGCATGAGCAGTTCTTATGGGGACCTGGACTCCTCATCACGCCTGTGTTATATGAAGTGTGTTTATAATCTAAGCAGTGGGATGGGATATCAACACTAGTCCTCATGGCTCTATAGCTGAATAATTTGGAGGCTGAATATCTTTGGCCGCATTTAAATATAAATATGAATAAAATGAGAGATCGTGAACATTTGGAAATTAGAAAAATAGTAATTCTTGGTCCCACTGCCTCACCAAGCAAAACAATTTCCATTTTGTAAGCTTAAATCAAAGCCTGTGTTCTTAAGCATATGGACATTGATAGGGACTTCAAATGCCTGGGGCTGGCCATCTGTCCGTGTTTCCCTTTGACCGGATGTGCTCTTGGGGTTAGGAAGAGAGAAGAGGTGGGGAGAGGAGTAGGGAGGGAGAGAGGAAGGCTGGTCAAGGGGCGGTTGTTACTGTAGAGTCCACGTATGAAGTGTGATTTGGGGCAGCAGTGATTGGGGAAGTACAGGGAAAGAAAGGGGGTATCAGGATCATGTTGACCAGTTTGTAAACATGGAAGGTCGCCAATGTACTCATATAAAAGGCCCTTGGAGCTGGTGTTTTAGCCACACCATCTCATGGCATGTCCAGCTATAGTGATGCTGCTGGAAGGTTCTCCAGGGTGCCTGACTGTTTAATTTCCCACCTGCCAGATTACACAAGTAACTCAATGAATGAACTTTCTCTGCTTCTCTTAGAAAGTTTAGGAACCTCAAGCAAAACAAACTTAAATTCTGGTACAGATCTGTTTTGGATGAACTGCCCGACCTCTCTGAGTATCTGTATTTTCATTGGTAGAATGGCAGAATCCCAACTATTTCTCAGGATTGTTCAGAGGAGCACATGCAGCCACACGTGGAGGTGTTGTGCAAACTGTAAAAGGATATGCTAATGTCGCTCATTGTTGTTATTTCCCTAGGGTGTGGACCGGGTGAAAGCATACATACCAGATGCCATCTGGTACGACTATGAGACAGTAAGTGAGGTAGCCCTCTTGGCCCAGAGACCCGCCTCTGGCAGAGGAAGTTCTAAGGCAGCAGCATTGTTGGGAGCTTGGGTAGGATGATAGTATGAGGCTTTACATTTAGCTGATTGTGGGTACTTTTCCATGTGGAAGGCCTTTCCCAATATACCATGAAATAATTTGAATAACTGGGGTAGGTTGATGGGAATGTTCATTATGTCAACCTGGCTACTATGCGGCTGTCAGGATTTAGGCTGTGATAACCTAGGGAGTTAAAGCCTGCTTGTGGAATCATAGCATGGTGTAATACAATGAAATAAGGTGGGTTGGAGTCTCAGCTTTGCTATCTACTTACTACCTTTATGCCTTGGACAAGTCACCTTCCCGTTTGGGAGGTCTCAGTTTTTCTCTTATTTAAAATGAGACAGTAAAAGTAGAAGATCTCTACAATTCCTTCTAGCCTAAACAGCCTATTATCTGATTTGTTTTCTTTTGTTGTAGGGAACAGCCATTCAATGGAGGAAACAATTGGTGGAGATGCTACTGCCCCCTGATAGGATAGGACTTCACCTTCGAGGGGGCTACATATTTCCCATCCAGCAGCCAAACACAACCACAGAGGCCAGGTAAGCTATAAGCTCCTCACTTTTCTAAGGTGTAACTGCTCTCATGCTCCAAGGGGCAGAGCATTATGGGAAAGGTTAATAGAGGGACTGAAAGTGGATATACCCAAGGAAGACATCTTTAGTCAGTGATCTTCCTCCCTTCCTTTCAAGGTTGGCCCCAAATTGGCATCTTAGTCTTCATTTAGGGGGTAAATGTAGCCTTTGTTCCTTTACATTTCCATAGTCTTTTACTTCTGGATTGAATCAGATTATAAGAATAGTCAATGATCTCATTGACTCATGATTGAATAAGATAATGAAGTAAAGAACTAGTTGTTATTGTTTTCTTTATGGTCAAAAATTGTCCTCAAGGAGGTTCACTTAGGCATGAGAGAATGCAAGTCAAATAGGAGATCAAAGACAAAATAACTTCAAGGTCAAGAGCCAGAAATTTTGGGTTCAAGTCCCAATTCTACGTCATACCAGATGTATTGTTATGGCAACTTATTCTCTATATTTCTGCTTATCATTTGTAAACCAGGGATGATGATAGGTTGACTTTTTAGAGTTATTGTAAGCTTTGAATGAAATAATATAAACATTTAATGTACATAAAACACTTAGGAGAATTCCTGGCACATGCTAAGCAGCGATTAGTGCTAATTGTTAATGTTATCACAAACCCAGTTTTCACCAGGACCTGTCTCCTTTGACTATTCTTCTCATGCTCATTCACTACTAACCTCTGTTGTCTACCCACACCCAGCTTCCGTGTTTCCATTCAAGGTCATGATCTACTCTCTTTCTAGGATAAACTCTGAAATTATCTGTCTGTGAAGCATGAAGGAGGTTTATTTAACACAGTTCTATCTCTTCTTCATTCTCTGAAACTGAGACTTGCTCTTTTGTAGTCGGAAGAACTCCCTGGGACTCATTATTGCCTTGGACTACAAGAGAGAAGCAAAGGGAGAGCTGTACTGGGATGATGGTGTATCTGCAGGTAGACTTTCTTATGGCACCACCACTGCAGTGCTCAGTGAGATTAGCCATTGCAAGCTGCCCAATACAGTGCTCACTCTGTTATCACTGATGCTTATTTCTATAGCTTAAAAATCAACTTATTCTGAGATTTGGTTGGCCAAGCACAATGCAATTAAAATAGACTTCAGATGAGCAAGTTGTATGTTACTGACTATACCAAAGCAACAGACATTATTGGATTTAGTTTAATTATTCTTTCCTCTGGGTATCATTATTAATACCAAATTATACTTTTTGCTCATAGATTTGCAAAATACTTCTTTGGTTACTATTGAAGGGAGTATCTTATCTGTGTAGTGTGTTTTTTCCACTGTAGGATTTTCATATAAGTACCTCACACAAGCTTATGGTCTGTGATGATAGAAAAGTCCTGCCCTGCACAGAATTAGCATTTGTTAATATTTATTGGCTATTTATGATTGCATTGCATGCAGGGGACATAAAGATGAATAAGACATTGACATTGCACTTGAGGAATCATTGCATGCAGGGGACATAAAGATGAATAAGACATTGACATTGCACTTGAGGAACTCCCGGTGCAGCAGGATAGATACATTGTGTATGTGGATACCTATAATGCAAGTCAAAATGTTGTAAATGCCAGCAAAACAGTATTTCATAGAGGCCATGGGAGTTCGGAGGATGAAGCAGTTACTGTGGGTTGAAGTGGCCAGGAAACCTTTGTGGAGATTTGACAATAATGGGTAAAACGTGGCTAAGCAGAATCAGATGGCAAAGGTATTCCCACTGAGAGAAGAGCCTCTACTTTCTATGTGATGAGGACCCTCTATCCTTCTCTTTCAGATGCTGTAATGGATAAGAATTATACTCTGTATGAGTTTTCTGTCACCTCGGTAAGTACTGTTTCTGAGGAACATACAGTATATGTTCTTCGCTGTGAATGCTTTGATTTGCTATAGAAGCGTAGTCATGTGGAATAGGGACAGTGCTTGACTCCAATGGTCCCAGAAAGGATATATAAAGTGTAAGAATTCGGCATTAGTTCAGTGAAGAACTAGTTTGCGTGTGTGTGTGTGTGTGTGTGTGTGTGTGTTTCGGGGAAAAAAATGCATTACCTCTGAGTTTTATACGATGAGTCCTGGCTTCGAAGATATGCCTTATTTGGGGGTGGGGCGGGTTGTACAAGTGTGTGTGGTATGTGGGCTGTGGGTGGGAGGTGGTGAGTGGTGCACTGCAATTTTGAGGTTCCTCCATAATGACCTTGCTTCCCAACCTCTAAACTTGGCCTTGGACACAGGTATGAAGTGGTGCTTTTGAGAGATTGGGAGACACAGAACAGCACTCCCACATTGTCTCTATTTCCCAAAGGGACTGAGAGGAAGAAAGGAGTTAGGCTAGCAGTGGATGGGAGAAATATAATCTGGTTTTCTTAGATGGCTGATTGTGCATGGGCAGAGATTTCTTTTATGGGAATCTCTCTCCCTTATTTCCTTCCTTTTATGTTTCTACTGTTGTTGTTTTTTTTCGATTATACTTTTCATTTTGAGATAATTATAGTACCCCATGTAGTTGTAAGAAATAATAGAGATCTGTTTTACTCTTTACACAGTTTCCCCTAATGGGAGCATCTTATAAAATGATAGTACAATTTTACAACAAGGATATTGATATTGATGCTGTCAAGATACAGAACATTTCCATCACTACAGGATCCTGCCTATGGTCCTTTTATAGCCACACCTACTTGCCTCCTCCCCTCCCCCTTTGTTAGCCCCTGGCAACCACTATTCTGTCCACCATTTGAATAATTTTGTCCATTCAAGAATGTTATGTAAATGGAATCATACAGCATGTAGCATTGGAGATTTTTTTTTTCCCCCACTCAGCATAATTCCCTCAAAATTCATTCAAGTTGTGGTGTACCCATAGTCCCTTTCATTGCTGAGTAGTATTCCAAGATACCCAGCTTTTATTTAACCATTCACTTAGTATAGAGCATCTGGGCTATCTCCATCAGGCGCAGTTACAAATGAATAAAGCTGCTATGCACATTATGGGCAGCTTTGTGTGTGAACACAGGTTCTTGTTTCTCTGAGATAAATGCCTAAGAGTGCAATTGCTGGGTTCTACAATAAGTGCATGTTTAGTTTTATAAGAAACTGCCAAACTGTTTTTCAAAGTGGTTGAACCATTTTAGATTTCTAGCAGCAGTGTATACATCACCCAGTTTTATGCATCATAACAAGCATTTGATGTTATGATTTCATTCTGATGACAGGGTAGTGATATCTCATTGTGGTTTTGATTGGTATTTCTCTGATGTCTAAAGATGTTGACTGTCTTTTTTTGTGCCTGTTTGTATATTCTCTTAGGTGAATGTCTACCTATTTATTTTGCCCATTTTCTAATTAGATTATTTGCCTTATTTTTCTATTCAGTTTTGAGTGTATTTTAAAAATATATTCTAGAAACCAGTCCTTTGTTTGATTTATGGTTTGTAAATATTTTCTTTCAGTCTGTAGATATCTCTTTTCATCCTCAAAGTCTTTCACAGAGCAAACATTTTTTATTTTGATGGGCCTAATTTATCTTTTTGTTCTTTTGTGGATCATGCTTTTTGGTGTCTAATATAAGAACCCTTCCTAGTCCTAGATCTTGAATATTATCTCCTAAACTTTATATATATATATATATATAATTTTTATATTAGATGTGACATTTAGGTTGAGGTTCAACCTTTTGCCTATGTACATCCAGTTGGCCCAGCACCATCTGTTGAAAGGCTATTCTTTCTCCACTGTGTTGTTTTTGTACCTTTGCAGAAATCAGTGGGGCATATTTGTGGGATGCCTAGTCTTTCTAAACATCAAAGTGTTCCTTTTTTCCCCTTAGTCTTCAGTTCTACTTTCTTTGTCGTAGCTCAACTTTGTCACTTTTGAACTGTGGTTCCCTGAATAAGATATCTAATTTCTCTGGGTTTCACTCTCTTCCTCTGAAAAAGTTGAGATAATTAGAGCTTCAACCTCATAGTTTGCTGTGAGACTTGAATGAGATAATACATGTAAAATGCTTAGTACAGTGCTCGACACATAGTAAGCATTTATGCAATTAAGCTCTTATCAGTATTATAATTAGAATACAAAAAAAATTATGTGGGCACTATTTTGTGTGTATCCTTTGTGTGTTAAAGGTTCTCTTGTGGGCTTCTGTCTTTTTGTTTTCTTTGTTGGTATCCATCACATCTGCTTGAAAATTCCATGATGTCAGGAACATATTTTCTGAATAATGGAATCAATAAATAACCAGAGAACCAAAGCAAGCATAAAATATTACACTAAGACTTAGGACTGTTAAGTGTCTGGGTTAACATATTTCCTGGGGAAGATCATCAGACACTATCTAGAACCTCAGAGATAAAGGATATAATTTAGATCATAGAAAGAAAGATGTTGAGTGGCATTGGGCACAGTTAGAATGTGATATACTTGGTCTCTAAACTGACTTTTTTTTTTTTTTCCCAGAACCATCTACAAGCAAAGATTACAAATAATTATATGGATCCTGACAACCTCACATTTACAGATATCATAATCTTGGGAATGGACAAAGAACCTACTAATTTTGTCCTTAATGATATTGCCATTTTAAACGTTAGCTACAATGCGTCAACGAAGGTGGGCAATTGTTCCATCCTGCCATCCTGCAGGGCCCTTGCTGGAAGCTGACAGCCCTGAGATTCTGACAGCCAGCTCTCTCTCGCTCTATTGAGTTTGGAGGGGCACAGAGACACTGACATGCTGGGAAATTGACCACACCCTAGGAAGGATACAGACAGAGAAACATGTGCTCGCTAAACATGAACCCCTGAACTTTGAAAAAGACAGTCCTTTCAGTGGGACCTAGAAGAAGGCAGTTCTCTGGGCAAATTTAAAACTAGACATTCTGATCCCACATGTGATGCAGTTCCATACATTATTATTCAAACTATATTATTTGATACATTGGCCTTGTTCTAGAAGGTATTTACACATTCACCCTCTCATTGAGTTAAAGACCCCCTTTGAGACACAGCTGATATTTTCCTTAGTATTTTAAGCAATTTTTATATCATTATAGAAAATGAGAGTTGAATAAAACAGCAGGGGTAATCAGTTTTATCCTTATTTTAAAAAATATATTTTTATTGATTTCAGAGAGGAAAGGAGAATGAAAGATAAAAACATTGAATTGGCTGCCTCCTGCATGCCCCACATTGGGGATCGGGCACCAGGAATTGAACCATGACCTCCTGGTTCATAGGTTCAACTATTGAGCCAAGCCAGCTGGGTGGTTTTGTCCTTATTGAATGAGTCCCTTACATGATAATCTCAGACAAAAGATCCCAATTATTAGTTGAGTATTTCAAGTGCTTGGGAATTCACTATTTTGTAGGGAGGCCTCCTTCCATTTAGACAACACATATACCCAATGATAGGAGCTTGGGTTCTAGAGTTAGGCTGAATGGGATTCCAATCCTAGCTCTACCAGCCCTTAGCTGTGAGATGTTGGGCAAAACATTAACTTCTATGAACATCAGTTTTCTGTTTTGTGAAATGGAGAGAGCCATATTTTTTGCAGCATAAGATTGCGTTATAGCATTAATAGAAGGAATGCATATAAAGTAGTTATCACAGTGCCTGGTCCACATACATGCTCAATAAAACTTAGCTATTGTTATAATTGTCACCATTATTAAAATGTATAGGCATCACTCCCAGAAGGCAATTGCCCAACAATGACAGCCCTCCCAGTGATTAGTACTCCTTAACATGATGGAAGCCTTTCCCATTCAGTATTCTATAGTGACTTGAGGTGAGAAGCGTCGGGAATGAGCCAAGTGCATTTTCCTGGCAAGGAGGTCAAAAGTCCCAGAGGAGGAACAATAATATTCCAACTATCCCCTGACAAAGTGGTATTGGATGAAGGCTATCTTAAGGTAAAGTGACATTAGATGAAGGATGTCACATGGCACGGTTGTATTGGACGAAGGCCATCCCAAGGCAAAGTGGGATTGGATGAAAGGCTAGCTCCCCCAGGCTTGACTTCCCAACCATCAGGGAAGGACATTATCCAGGTGTCTCTATTTCTCCTCATTTGTCACTGTGGCCTCCTTTCTCATTCCTCAGGTGGTGAAAATCACTCATCTCGAGGGACTGGTACTGGGACAAGAATTCTCCATGAGGTGGACTCTTTTGGTCAGTGACAAAGAGAAGTTCAACTGCTACCCTGAGGAGCCCACTGCCTCTGAGGAGAAGTGCAAGCAGCGGGGGTGCCTTTGGGAGGTAAAGATGAGGAGCAGATTACCACAGTGAGCAGGAAGTTGTAAAAACTGGCCCAGGAGTGATTAGGCACCAAGAAACATTTTCCAAACACTGTTGGGTTGAATGGGAATCATTCTTCAGGAAGAAAACAATACTGTGCCAACAGATGCACCGTTTTGTCAACGCTGAGTGGCAGGCAATCAGTGTTTTCCTCAGATATCCTGAATGAGAAGAAACTCATTGCTGCCCTGGCTCCCTCTTTTCTCTCACCTCCTTATTTTAAACCCACTTTTATTTTTAACATAGTAACAATACATTGTGCATTGAGTATTTTAAGTGATTTTTTTTTTCATGAATTAGAGTTCAGGCAGGAAGGTAAGGTATGAGTCTTACCCTCCATTTGAAAAACAGAGAGAATGAAAGCCAGAGAAAGAGAAAATAAGTGATTTCCTTAATGTCACAATGGGGGCAACTATCCCATGGCAAAGTGGTATAGTTTGGGGGCATTGGGAGCAGAACCCTGCCTTAGGATTCCAGTCTCCAGATCAAGCTACCTGCTGACCCTTCACTACTCACCTGTTACAAACGTACAGATGTCTCCCAAAAATGTATGCACACTTCTTTGAATAATTATTCATTCCAATGGGTTAAATCTGAAAAGAAAGAAACATTGGAATGAATAATTATTCAAAGTGTGTATATATTTTTTGGGACACCCTATATTATTTCAGTGTTTTGAGAGCTGAAGTTCAAAATCAAGGTGTTGGCAGGTTTGGTTCCTTTCGAGGGCTGTGAGGGACAATTGGTCCCATGTCTCTCTCCTAACTTCTGGCGGTTTCCTGGCAATCATTCATGTTCCTTGGCTTATAAAAATGTCACCCCAATTTCTGCCTTCCTCTTTACATGGTGTTCTTTCCCCGGGCACATATATATCTCTGTGTCCAAATTTCCCTATTTAATAAGGACACCAGTTAATATTGGATTAGACCCACCCTAATGATCTCATTTAACTAGGTCATCTGCAAAGATCCTATATCCAAATAAGGTACCAGGTGTTAGGACTTAACATCTTTTTGGGGGAACATAATTGAACACATAATAATGGGCATAGTGTCAGAGACTTAGTCTGTGTTAACCAACACTTTTTAGAAATCAGAGTGTGGTGTTGGAGGCTGACTGAGAATTCATCCTCTCATTGCAGAACACAGTTGTTCCTGGTGTGCCCACCTGTTTCTATGACACCATCCCTAAGTATGCTCCCAGTAATATTCAGTATTCGCCCACTGGCATCACCACAGACCTTACCCATCTGACAGCCCCGGAGTCAGCTCGAGCAGCAGCACCATCACCACGGAGCACGCGACATACACCTGCAGCAGCAGCCACCACCTCTCCCGCTCTTTCTGCAGAGATCACCTCCCTTAGGATCAGCGTGATCTACCACACAGAAAGCATGCTGCAGTTCAAGGTAATGCCCGTGTTGCAGATTCCGGTCGTCAGCACAGAGTTCTTGTGGGATGGAAATTACCGAAACATCTTTTAGTCCAAATCCCTCATTTTAGAGTTGAGGATGCTGAAGCCCAGAAAGGTAAAGGCCAGAAAGTCAGGAGATAGTAGAGTTGGGTGTGGCCTTAGATCCACCAGGGTTGTCCATGTCCTATAGTGAAGGGTTCTGTAAGTCAGAACGATCCTCAAAGACACATTAGCCCTGAGAACAAAGTGTCTGCTTTTTGGTAAACTCATATGGGTGGCATTGACTCATTTCCAACATTACAATTATTTCTCTAGCAGTTGATACTTCAACTTAATATGCATCAGAATCACTTGTAGCTCTTGTTAAAAGACATTGCTGGGGCTCCTGCCCAGGGTTTCCAAGAATCTGCATTTCTAATGAATTCCCAAGTGATGCTCCTGCTACAAATTAAGAGGCCACACTTTGAGAACCACCACTCTGCTAAAATAGAAATATGATGTGAGCCACATATGTTTTCTGATAACCATATTTTAAAAAATGTATTGAAAAAATTAGGTGAAATGGATTTTAATAGCATTTTATTTTACCAAGTTGCTCAATGTTATCAGTTCATCATGTAATCAAAATACAATTACGTACTGAGATACTTTAGATTATGGTCAGATTAAATCTTCAAATTTTGGTTTGTATTTCACATTTATAGTGAGTTTCAGCTCAGACTAGGACATTTCAAGGTTTAATGGCCACACATGGCTAGTGGGTACCACCTTGGACAGTTCACTCTAGACATTGCTTTTCACATTTCAATGTTGGGCGAATCACCCCAGGGACCTTGTGAAAATGAAGATTCTGATTCAGAAAGTCTGGGGTAGGGCCTCAAATTCTGCATTCCTAACAGGCTCCCAGGTAATATTGCTGCTTTTGGTTTGAGAAACAGAATATTGAGAATCGAGCCTTTCGACAAAACTTGTCCTAAGCATAATATGTGGGCTCATATTATTATGATAAAAAGGATGATCACTCATAATAGTAATACTACCTGGCCTTACATAACACTTTGCCCTTCTCTCCTTTTGCCCACACAGCAACCCTGTTAGGTTGGTAGAAACAAGTGGTAGGTACAAAGGAACAATCTTAGGAATGAAAAAGCTGAGCAGCAACTGGAAGCTCAACTAGTAAGAAGATCTCATAGTTCATATGAAAACTCAGTTCTCTAGTTTCTAACATATGTACACATGCTAACACATAGTATTATAAAGTTATGTGCACATACTGTTCACATACCGCACTCGTAAAAACACATGCACACATTCTGTCTATGAGATTCTACACCCTTAAGTTACAAATTCCTTAGAGGCAGTGCCCTCCCTGGCTTTCATGGGTATTGTTGAGGGTGTTTTTTTGTGTGTTTTTTTTTTTCCAGTTCAGGATGTGTTGGGCACAGTGGATGGGTAGGCCTCACATCTATTTGCTTTGGGATATTTGATGCTTCCTGATGGGAACTGAATTTTGAGCTGGTATGAGAGGTTTTAGGTATGAGATTCCATCAGAAAGTCTCCTTCTTTCTCACTGTCAGATCTATGATCCCACTAATAAAAGGTACGAGGTCCCAGTGCCTCTGAAAATCCCTTCCTCTCCTGTTGGCTCACCTGAAAACCGTCTGTATGATGTCAGGATTCAAAACAATCCTTTCGGGATCCAGATTCAACGGAAAAGCTCCAGCACTGTGATGTAAGCACCATTTTTATTTGGTTCTAATTAGAGTGGTTCTAGATCTAATTGCAGTGGTTCTAATGAATGCAAGTGAAATATTAACCTTCAACACTCTACGTGTATGTTTGTTTTTTAAACAAAGAGGATATACATCCCCCCACCACACACACACACACTTCAATGGGGATTTCATTTCTTATTAGTCATTAGCTCAACAAGAACAATTAAGCAATCAAAGACTTAAAAATACTAAGTGTTGCTTGATTTCAGAAAAAGAAAAATACATATTTTACTCATTGTTCTGGTTAAATAGAACAGAAAACTCTATATGCCTCATTACGAAATAATAACAGAAGAGCCAGGAGAGAGGGGTAAGGGGTAGTAAGGAGAGAGAAATGGTGTCTTGCAGTCTTTGCTGCTATTGACACTATAGACTTAAAGCCTTTTCACAATGTTAAGCATGAAAGGAATTGCCACCTCTCATCCCTGACCTGCTGCTGAATGGCATGATCCGCAGGTCTGGATTTGCCTGGGGCTGAAGCCCCCCATCCTATTAGAAGCTGTCACCTGTATGTGCACATGTGGACAGCCTTCGGCTCTCTTTGACTATGTGTCTGACTTTCTGTCTGTTGGCTTCTTTGGTAAGAAGTTCTTTGGCCAATCCAGAAAAGTCATTCTGAGTTTCATACTTTTCTATTGGAAAACTTGCTCAGACCTTATTCATTGATTCAGGCTGATGTACCAGGCAGTGGGATCTAGAAATAAAGAGATGAGTGACACTCTTAAGGGCCAATTAATCAGAAAAGGAGTTGCCAGTCTTGCAATCCACAGAATAAAAATGCAAACACAGAACTGTGGTAGCGAGTCATGGACATTCTTATGACCTGGGTCATCTCACAGTAATTGAACCTGGATCCAGGTGTGCAATCATTCAGGAGGCTTCTGAATCAACTAGACATCTGAACTGTATTCTCTGTTTGCTCCGGCCTGTGGTCAGCTCTGCTCAAAGGTATGCCTCTGTGTTGTAGTTGGGATTCTCAGCTCCCGGGCTTTACCTTCAACGACATGTTCCTTTCCATTTCTACTCGCCTCCCCTCTGAGAACATCTATGGCTTCGGGGAAACTGAGCACACAACTTTCAGAAGAAACATTAGCTGGAACACATGGGGAATATTTTCTCGAGATGAGCCACCAGGGGTAAGTACAGAAGAATAAAATTATCCATCAGTTGCTCTCTGTGTAAAATTATTTTAATCCACATATGTACCCTATTCATAAACTTCAGCTTATATTGATAAATTCTGCTCTCAAATGAAATAGGCCACATGTTATGTAATGTCCTTCTGTCCCTAAATGTATTTTAATCTTTTAGAAAATAAATATAGGGTGGGGCAAAAGTATGTTTATAGGTGGGTTATATGTGAGATAATAAAATAATTAACAAATAATAACACAAGTGTAAACTGTGTTTACATGCTCACAACTGTAAATCTACTTTTGCCCCACTTGTGTGTGTGTGTGTGTGTGTATGTGGTGGAAGGAAGGGTCAAGGAATTTTTCATAAAGGACATGACATTGTGCTAAATTTTCAGTGTTTAGTAGGTGTTGGCTGTTTGGGTTATGAGGAGGACAGAATTTCTTGGATTTTCTCTTTTTGTTACTCATCTACTCCTCCCATGACTCTCCCAGTACAAGAAGAATTCCTACGGTGTCCACCCCTACTACATGGGACTGGAGGAGGATGGCAATGCCCATGGAGTGCTTCTGCTAAACAGTAATGCCATGGGTAAGATAAAGACAGTTTTCCTGCAGCCACTTTATCAGAATCTGGAATATCAATAGAAATAAGAAAGTTCAATGGCCAGGGAAATAGGGCACATAACCCGACCTTTTATTTATTCATTTATCCATGATATATTAAAATCTCTAGGCCAGGTACTGGGAGTAAAATTTTGACTAAACATAGTCTTTACTTTGGTATGACCTTGTTTGACTTTGCCACTTTAATTCCCTTTCACAGAACATTATAAAAGGTTAAGATTGAGATTGTCTTTGGGGTACCTGAAAATCCATCTCTGATTCCACAGTATGAAAGAAGACTTTCCAGAGGAGGTGGGCACTAAAAGAAGAGAGTGAAAATAGCAAATATTAGGGCAGAGTCCCTGTCTGGGTAATTTATAGTTCTCAAGATGCTTCTCATGTTTGTCTGTATGTGTGTGTGTGTGTGTGTGTGTGTGTGTGTGTTTGTTTTTTTAACAGATGTGACATTTCAGCCTACTCCTGCCCTGACATATCGCACCACAGGAGGGATTTTGGACTTTTATGTAGTTTTGGGGCCAACTCCCGAGCTTGTAACCCAGCAATACACTGAGGTCAGAATTCATTATATTCATTAATTAACCATCCAAGGCTTATTGGATATTGCACAATCTTAGCACTGAGAAAGGCCAATTTTATTTTTTACTAGAAGCCTAGTGCATGAAATTTGTGCACTGGTAGGGTCTGTAGCAGCTGCTGGCTGCCAGCCGGGTACTCCTTCTCTTCTCTCCCCGCTTCCGTTCTCAGCTGCCTGCTGCTGCCACCACCGATGCTGCCTGGGGCCTCAATCCCTTCCCCTTGCTAGCCCCAACCCTGGTTGAACTCCCAGACAACTCCCGGTCGAGGGGACAATTTACATACTATGCTTTTATTATATAGGATGGTCCTTGAGTATTCCTACTACATTATCACTATTTTTTATGAGAGTAGGGTTTTAGTGTTAAAGGATATTGATATCCCATATGTCTCTTAATTATTTGCTATAAAACCTTTCTAAGAATCTCTAATCAGTAATAACAACTGAATTTTCAGGTTTCTTAGAGTAGAAGCTCTAGGATATAGAGAGACTTTCTATCATTCTGCATCTCCATGATTGTTCCACATTTATGAGACCTCTTAGATCAGACAGGCAGCAAGTAGAAGTGCTGAAGTTGCTTCAAGCATAAGCCAACTATCTTTTTTTTTACCCTAAGAATCTACTTGGATCCATTTTTCTTTTTTATTCTAGTTGATTGGTCAGCCAGCAATGATTTCATACTGGGCCTTGGGATTCCAGCTGAGTCGCTATGGATACCAGAATGATACTGAAATCTCCAATTTGTATGATGAAATGGTGGAAGCCCAGATTCCCTATGTATGAAGCCTTCACCCTGCCTGTGGTTTAATTAGTTATGGGGACTTATGGCTAATTATAAATTGAAAACATCTTCATAGACATTACTGATGACTACTTCAGTACAAAGAAAATGTAGCTATGGAGCTAATCTTATGTGGAAATATTGCTTTTTAAATTTAAGTCACAGTACCCTTTTTAAATCAAGAGTTCAAAATTGAGGGCATACATTCATCAGAAGTTAGTAGAGGATATTGTTACTTATTACCTCTTGCCAGAAATATCCTAGAGTAACCATAGTTAGTCATAAGCCATGACTTTGGAGACTTCTAAGAGAGAATCATATCAAGATTATGACAATTTTAGGGACTATACTGTGATTATTTTTGGAGAGGGTAGATATAAAGTGACAGTATGAAAAAAGGAGATAAATTCAAGCCTTCACTTTGACTTAAATACAAATACTCATATATGCATTTCCCACAATGAAACATAGCCCCTAGAAGTGCAGTCAATTACTGTCAACAAACAGAATTCCACACATAGCATGCTCATTCTCTCTTATAATAGTCAAATTCTCATCACATATTTTCTTTCTCTGCTTTTAACTCACCTCCTGAGATATGGAGGACAATTAATGATTAGAAGATGAGAATAAATTATTACAATGTCCTCATCAAAGATAATTTGAAACATTCACCCAGACTTATTTTTCCTTTTCAGATACTATTATGCTAGCTATTCCTAAATATAAATTAGAAAAGATGAAAAAATTCCATAGATTTATCTTGCCAATGCAACCAATGTTAATAATATGTTGGTTCATTCTTTTCTAAGTTTTGTCTTATACACAAGTCGCTGCTCCCTCAAACAAGTTTTACCTAGAGCAGTGGTTCTCAACCTTCCTAATGCCGTGACCCTTTAATACAGTTCCTCATGTTGTGGTGACCCCCCAACCATAAAATTATTTTCGTTGCTACTTCATAACTGTAATTTTGCTACTGTTATGAATCGTAATGTAAATATCTGATATGCAGGATGTCAATATGTAATTACATATGTGTTTTCCAAAGTGTGGCGACCCACAGGTTGAGAACCACTGACCTAGGGTCTTAAGACAATACAGGTGATTACCACCTTTAAGCTAAAGAGAAACATCTCTTGTTTCAACTGAATATTAACCACATAGCCATCATTCAACAATCTTGAATTGGGTACATTTCATGTGCAGAAACCTAGGTTGGTTGGCATTGTATTGAGAAAAGAGAAGGAAAGATTTTCATCTCAAAGACCATCTAGACAATTGGAGATGGTGGAAATAGTATATACATTTTAGAATGCTATAAAATAATGTAGTTCTTAAATGTGAATAAATTTAATCAGGTTTACTGGAGGGAAAAAGAGAAAACAGGTATACAATCTTGTTTCTCAGGGGAGTCTGCTTTTTACCCTTGAACATTTAACTAGCACTTTTTTTTTGATAGTCTTACCATGTTTGAGATTTGAAGAGTGGAAAAAACATGAACTGAGGGAAGGAAAGGGGAAAGAATTCCAATGTGTGTGTGTGGGAGAGGCAGAAGCAGAAGGAATGGGAACAGGTGATCTGTATGCAAGAATCAGATAGCAAATTTAATCAGCAGAATTGGCAAGTGGGTCTAGTGGAGTAATGAGGTAAATTTGGAGGGACCTGGACTGGGGTCTACAAGCAGCAGACCTGGAGTCTGGCAGAGCAGTGTGTGTGCCCTGAGGTTATTATTGCAGGATCCCCCCAACACCTTGCTTGCCCTTCCTCTAGGATGTTCAGCATGTAGACATCGATTACATGGACCAGAAGCTGGACTTTACCCTCAGCACCAGCTTTCAAAACCTTAGTCTGCTGATGGAGCGAATGAAGAAAAATGGCACAAGATTTGTCCTTGTTCTGGTAGGTACTTGCAAATATTAAATCTCATTTTTTTTTGTGTTCATGTTTTAAAAATAGCACCATTGAAGGAAATGAGATGAAGAGTATAGGACAATTCCCTGTACATTTTTGCCACTTCCTGTGTATCTATAATTACTTTTTTAAGTTTGAAAAAGCAAATAAAGGAGGAAAAAACAATAAAAAGGTTTTTTAAAAGATGATGTTTTACAATCTTTATTTTTAATGACTGAGTATAATTTATTGTTACTGTTCTCTTGACAGAATTAGAAGAACTGTGGGCTAAAACACTGAATATAGCAACAATAAAAAAAGTCTCTCTATTTCAGACTGTGCCTTAGAATAGCTGTATTTTAGTCTTGGCTTTACTGTGGGGTTTTCAAAAACCTGTTTTGTCATCACCCAGCAATGGTGAGGCTCAGGGGACTTATTTCTTCTTAATTAAATTCACAAACAACCTAGTGAAGGTCCAGAGGACCAATTTATTATTTCACATTGGAAGTTATATCTTGATTAAATACAGAAGTAGTTACCTACAAATGCTCCTCTTTTATAGCTTCCAAAAATTAAAACATTCTTTGCTGACTTTTGTTTGTCAGTTCATTCATTCATTCAAGTATTTGTTAAGCCTTGAGTCTTTGAAAATTACCATTATAAAAGGTGTGTGTGTGTGTGTGTGTGTGTGTGTGCTTGCAATCTAAATTCATTAAGAAGACAATGTCCTTACAGGGATTATATAATACTAGAGGCCTGGTGCACAAAAATTTGTGCACTGGGGGCAGTGGGGGTTCCCTCAGCCTGGCCTGTGCCCTCTCACAGTCTGGGACCCCTTGGGGGATGACCATTTGCTGGCTTAGGCCTGCTCCCTGGGGGATTGGGCCTAAGATGGCAATCAGACATCCCTCTGACAGCCCGGCAGCCCTCGGGGGATGTCCACTTGCCAGCGGGGAGAAGACCTAAGCTGCAGTCAGACATCCTTAGCGCTGCTGAGGAGGCGGGAGAAGCTCCCACCACCACCACTGTACTGGCAGCCATCAGCCTGGCTTGTGGCTGAACAGAGCTCCCCACTGTGAGAGCACACTGACCACCAGAGGGCAGCTCCTGCATTGAGTGTCTGCCCCCTGGTGGTCAGTGTGCATCATAGTGACCAGTCATTCCCAGTCTTTCTGCTGTTAGGGTCAGTTTGCATATTACCCTGTTACTATATAGGATAGAGGCCTGGTGCATGGGTAGGGGCTGGCTGGTTTGCCCTGAAGGGTGTCCCGGATCAGGTTGGGGGTCCCGCTGGGGTGCCTGGCCAGCCTGGATGACGGGTTGATGGCTGTTTGCAGCTGGTCACACCCCCTTCAGGGTGGGGGTCCCCACTGGGGTGCCTGGCCAGTCTGGGTGAGGGGCTGAGGGCCGTTTTCAGGCTGGTGGGCAACTGAAGCTCCCAGCCTCTCCTTTTTTTTCTTTTTTCTGGGATTTATTTACCTTCTATAGTTGTTACTGGAGCTGAGAGCCGGCTCCAGCTCTGAGGCCTGGCTCCAGCTCTGAGGCTGCGGCTGGCTGAAAGCAGGTATCTGGAGTTTGTTTGGCTTCTATAATTGAAACTCTGTTGCCATCACTGGCGCTCTCAGCTCTGAGGCCGTGGCCAGCTGAAAGCAGGTATCTGGGGTTTGTTTAGCTTCTATAATTGAAACATAGTTGCTTCCAGAGCTGGGCCGTGGCAGGCGGGGAACCTTGGCTTCCTCCATCACTGGAGCAAGCAAACCTCCTGTTTGCTTCAGCTGCGTGGCTGCCGGCCGCCATCTTGGTTGGCAGTTAATTTGCATATCCTGCTGATTTGCCAATGGGAAGCGTAGCGGAGGTATGGTCAATTACCATGTTTGTCTATTATTAGTTAGGACTAGAGGCTCAATGCATGAAATTCATTCATTCATAGGCCTGGCTGGCGATCAGGGCCAATCTGCGGGTTGACCAGTGGGACGATGGGGGTGGCCCTCCCCTGGCACTCACCTTGGCTGGCCTGAGGCCTGCAGGCTGGGGGTAGCTTCTGTGTTGAGCTTCTGCCCCCTGGTGGTCAGTGCACATCATAGTGACTGGTTGTTCCACTGTTCAGTTGATTTGCATATCAGGCTTTTATTATATAGGATTGGAGGATACAACCAATTAATAAACATTAAAATATAATTTTAGGCAGGAATGATTCATATGACAGTTGTGAAATAGAATACTATTATAGAAAGTAATTGGGACAGGTAAAGGATGAGGTTAATGGGAAGGCCACCTTAGGTGGACAGTCTGGCCACAGAATAGAAGAAAGAAGTTTCTCATTTTTAGGGAATATTGCTGTGACACTACTGAAATGCAGTAAATTACCTTTCTCTATGCGAGGGTAATGTCTTGTTAATTTAGTTTCTCTCCAGGAATTTTTTTTCAAACATTAGCATGCTTTTTTTCCCCCTTGGGAATTTTATAGAGAAACATCAATATATTCTTTTGCTCTCAACTATCCAATAGACATACGCAAATTAACCTGGGTTGTATTTTTGTTTGTTTGTCTATTTTGAAGTTTACCATTTCTTTCTGTACCACGAATTGTTAACATTTTGGAGATCATTTTTCTTGGAAATATTTTTCTCATGTTTTCTGTTTTAAACGCTTTTGTTTCAGAATCCAGGCATTTCTCGCAATGAGACCAAGTATCTCCCATTCACCACAGGGCAGGAAAAGAATGTATTCATCAAATGGCCTAACAGCAGTGACATTGTCTGGGGAGAGGTAAGGATTGGGAGGAGATGTCTGTAATTAATCAGCATCACAATGTTTTGATTGAAAGAGGCTCTTCATAAATCTTAGCAAAATGTATTGGGTAATTTATAAATTATGAATGAGTAGAAATCTGTGTGATACTGATTACTTAACAAACATTCATGAGACCAAAGTCAAAGGTCTAATCCTCTATCAGTGAGTTATGTTTTTATTGCCTGGAAATATTCTGGCGTTCCACTCCTTATGTACCCCAGCTGGTCATTTAACACCCATAAATAATACCTTTGAGAATGGCTCTGAAATCTATGTCTCCCAGTCACCCACACCCAAGATGTGTACTAATCTTTGGCCTATGATGCTTAATCAGCCATCATATTTAAATGAATCAATAGATCTTATGTATTATCCTCCTTCTTTTGTCTCCTTTAATTCCTTTTTTGGGCCCCAGTTGTTTGGTTTATGGCAACAAGATTTGAGGTGATACTTGTCTTTCTCTGACTGGCTTATTTTGCTTAAAATAATAATCTCCAGGTCCATCCATGCTGTTGCAAATGGTAAGAGATCCTCCTTTTCTTACAGCCACATAGTATTTGAGTTTCAGTGAATTGTCCACATGTAAACCAGTTAAAAGGAGTAATGTCTTTCATCTCGGCATTTGATGTCACATCAGCTTGTAGCTCACTCTGTAGCTCACTTTTCCCTGGATGATTGGTCTCCTTCATTTTACCAATGTAGAAAAAGCATCTGCAGCTCTAAAGCCTCCTCTGATCTCTTTGTGTCCACAGTAAATTCTGTGAAGCATCAGCAGAAGTGGGTTAGGTCTCACAGTGGTGGTGGTGGTGGGGGGGGGGGCGCGGAGGAGGGAGCCAGTACTTTGCACAAGCACCTGTTCACCTCCCCTTCCTAGTCCCCACACTCCCCTTCCTGAACAGGCTGAGACCCAGTGTGAGAGTCTGTGTTACTCTTCCAGCTGTACAAAGCCCACATCGCTTATCCTGACTTCCTGCGTAACAGCACAGCTACTTGGTGGAAGGAGGAAATAAAAAAGCTCTACACAAGCCCAAAGAGCTTGAAGTTCGATGGACTGTGGATCGTAAGTGCATCCTTAGCGTGTTTTCTTTGGAAGTGCTAGAAGTACAAGCACGAGGAGGCAATTCAGAAACTAGCAAAGCAGGTAGCGAGGGCTGGAGGAGTGAAAGAGAGGGATGCTGGTACAGAATGAAGGTGCTGGGACCACCAAGAGGAGCAGAGGGAGTTGTAGGTCTGCCCAGGGACATATTGGGTAGAGGACGTTGGAGACTAATGGGGAGACATGCCACCACTAGAGATGATGCCAGCTGAAAAGGCACAAATATCCTGTCTTCTCTTAGTTCCCATCCTTTAATCTCTTGCCACTGCCTCCCATTGGCCAAACCTCCCCAGAAGCCAACAGTAAGGGAGCCTGAGAGACCATCCATGATACAGCAGACCTAGGGGCAAGAAGGCCTGAATCTGAGGTGAAATAGATGCTCACCACAGTGCTGGTAGAGAGTCCTCTGAGGGAATGGCTTCAAAGGCCTGTTCAGATATTTGTTATGCATGTCAGGTGGGCATAAGACCAGGGCTTCCTGAGATGTCTCTGGGACATGTGTCCAAGGCTCTTCTATTTGTGTGTCTCTAGGGATGGGAGGCATAGCAGCATCCCAGTTTCCTTTCCCATGGAATCAATGAAGCAACCAGCTGTGTGAGAGTTTAAATAAGATCCTTTTGTCTCTAGGAGGGCAGTGTTCTCCTGAGCCAAGGCCACTCTGTCCCCTCTGACATCATGGAATCTGTTTTGCTAATTCATTTCAGGATAAGAATGAGCCATCAAACTTTGTGGATGGATCTGTCAGTGGCTGCCGTGATGAAATTCTTAATAAGCCACCATATATGCCATGTATGTAAAATGATTGCTTCCTTAAATTACTGCCCTGCTCAAAACCCCTTACGTTTTCCTCTTGTCAAAGTGAAGCCTCATTTTGGAGAGAGAAAACACTCTTAAACATGAGATAAAATCCCAAATAGAATAACCTTGAATAAGTACAAATAAATAAATTATGGATCAAGCATAGAAATAATGACTTGATGTGGTATGAAAGAATCCAAGCAATGAATGGTGCATCTGATTACATCGATAACTATGAACTGATTGCTAAAACTTTAATTAACCCTCTACACACACACACACACACACACACACACACACACACACACACCCTTTTGATTAGAGAATGAAAATCTAGTTCCTGCACTCTCTCTGCCTGTGTTCACAGACACTTGATGAAGGGCATGCCCAGGTTGTCCTATGATACAAACAGCAATAGAGACTACAGGACCTGGGGATCAAAGGCATCTCAGAGAGTTGAACTCTCAACTTACAGAAACATGAGAAGGAAGTGACTCACCTTCCTACAAGCACTATACCAGTAATTTTTGGGATGAAATCTGGAATCCAAGTTTTTTAATGTCTACATCATTGCTATGTTTCCTATTGTTTGGTAATTCCCTTTCTTCTTCCCTTCCTCTTTCTCTCCCTTCCTCCCTCCCTCCTTCCTTCCCTCCCCACTTCCTTCCCTCCCTTCTCACTTCCTTCCTTCCTTCCTTCCTTCCTTCCTTCCTTCCTTCCTTCCTTCCTTCCTTCCTTCCTTCTTCCTTCCTTTTCCTTCCTTCCTTATTTTCTCCTCTTCCCTTAATATAATATTTGTGTATCAGGCAAGTATTGACAAATCAGAATGATTTAGCAACATTAATATAAAGTTGGTTGAAACAAGATTCATTCCCTTGAGAACATTACCATCTAGTGGAAGATACAGTCATAAGACAGAAGAGTGTATGATGCTGATAAAGGGGCATGGATCATACTCTATAAATGTTAGAGTTGGAGCATAAAGAAGGATGCCTTTACCAGCTCCATTCCCTGCCCTTATTCTTCATTAGTTACAAGGTCACAGAACATTGTTGTTTTTATTAGACAAAAGAAATTCTTGAAATTGGAGCTGCTACTGGTGATAAAGGTGTTGTTTGAAATAGAACCATGCCAAGATGATGGGCATTTCTAGTGAATGTGCAGATCAAGTTGTTCAGAATATAACTCAGCATTTCCTCTTAGATTTGGAGTCTAGGGACAGGGGTCTCAGCAGCAAGACCCTGTGCATGGAGAGCGAGCAGATCCTGCCCGACGGCTCCCGGGTGCGGCACTACGATGTGCACAGCCTGTACGGGTGGTCCCAGACCAGACCCACATATGAGTGAGTATGCTTAGTCACTGGCAGCAAGGGTCATTTTCCACACTGTTACTTTTGTCTTGTCATATATAAATAAATAAATGTGTCATATATATATATATATATATATATATATATATATATATATATATATGTTAAATGGATGAATGTCAAAATAGCAGGAGTGGTTTCCTAAGCAGCCACACCACTTCTGAGTTGTATTAACCAAGTAGGTTGCTAAATTCACCTGTTTAAAATGTGCAGGTACACATATGATTTCACTTTATGTGGAATCTAATGAACAAAATAAACTAACAAACAAAATAGAAACAGACTCATAGATATAGAGAACAGACTGACAGCTCAGAGGGGCATGGGGTTGGGGGGCTGAGTGAAAACTATGAAAAGATTAAGCAAAAACAAAAACGAAACTCATAGACACAGATAACAGTGTGGTGATGACCAGAGGGAAAGAGGGGTGAGGAGAGGTAGAAGAAGGTAAAGAGGGGATAAATGGTGGTAGAAGAGGACTTGACTTGGGGTAGTGAACACATAATACAATATGCAGATGATATATTATAGAATTGTATACCTGAAACCTATATAATTTTATTAACCAAGGTCACCCTAATAAATTCAGTAGAAATAAAGTGAGCAGGTGCTGATAATTGCTATAATGGCAATCTTACTACAATATATAAATGTATCAAATTAATGTTGTGCAGCTTAAATTTATACAATGTTATATGTTAAATACACTTAATTTAAAAAATAATGTAAGCAGTTAGGCTGTATTTAGTATATTCATAGAATTGTACAGCAATAACTACAATCAAATTCTAGAACATTTTTTAACATCCTAAAAGGAAACTCTATACCAACCCTATAGCAGTCACTTTCTAGCATTGTCCCTACCTCCTGACCCTGAGCAACCACAGATCTACTTCCTATATACATAGATTGCTGAATCTGGACACTTCATATACATGTAAATGGAATCATACAGTATGTTGCCTTTTGTATTCTTTTTTCAAGGTTTTTTCTTAATTATTCTGGGTGCTTTGCAATTAATATGAATTTTAGGATTAGCTTGTTAATTTCTGCAAAACAGTAACAGGGATATTGGTTGGGATTGCACTGAATCTGTAGAGCTATTTAGGGAGTATTTCCATCTTAATAATAGTACATCTTCTGATCCATCAGCATGGGATGTCTTCCCATTTCTTTAGATCTCATTTCATTTTCTTTCAGCAATGTTTTATAGTTTTCAGTGTATATATTTCTGACTATTATTTTAATTTAATTTTATTTGTTTTACTTTCATTCAAAAATATTTCATGTTGACATTATTGCAGGAGTCCTCCCTTCCACTACCACTCCCTTTTCCAACACCCATCCTCCCCCACCTACTTCTTCCTTAGCCTTTACCAAATTATTGTCTGTGTTCATGGGTATGCATATATCTCCTTTAGCTAATTCCTTCCCTTCTTTGTCTAGCCATTATTTAAAAAAAATATTTTTCTACCCCTTTCTCTTTCTTTTCTCTTTCTCAGAGTCCAATTATATGTATGTTGGTACATTTGATGGTCTCTAAAATTCTGCTTACATTTCTTCATTTTTACTTCTTTTTGATATTCAAACTGGATCGCTATCTTCAATTTTGCTGATTCTTTTGTCATCTAGCTCACATTGGATGTTGAGCTCAGTCTCTTCAGTAAATTTTAGTTATTTTATTTTTCAACTCCAAAATTTCTATTTGTTCCTTTTTAAACAAGTTCTGTTGCTTTATTGACATCCTCTATTTAGCAGGAAGTCATTGTCATACTTTCTATTAATTATTTAGATATGCTTCCTTTAAGCTCTTTGGACATGTAATAACTAACTTATAGTCTTTGTCTACCAAGCCCCTCAATAACATTTTCTGTTGGTTGTTTTTTCTTTTCTTGTGCATCTGACATACTTTCATGTGCTTTTTAAGTTTTTTTTAAAATTTATTTATTGGTTAAGGTATTACAAATGTGTCCTTATCCCCCCATTAACCCCCAACTCCCCCCCGACTCCTGCTCTCATCCCCCTGTTGTCTGTGTCCATTGGTTTGGCTTATATGTATGCATACAAGTCCTTTGGTTGATCTCTCCCCCTTACCCCCACCCTCCCCTCCTTTCCCTCTGGGGATTGATGGTCTGATTACTATTTCTCTGTCTCTGGATCTGTCCCTGTTCATCAGTCTATGTTGTTCTCTATATTCCACAAATGAGTGAGATCATGTGGTATTTATCTTTCTCTGACTGGCTTATTTCACTTAGAATAATGCTCTCCAGTTTCATCCATGCTGTTGCAAATGGCAAGAATTCCTTCCTTTTTGCCACAGCGTAGTATTCCATTGTGTAGATGTACCACAGTTTTTTAATCCACTCATCTGCTGATGGGCACTTAGGCTGTTTCCAGATCTTAGCTATGGTGAATTGTGCTGCTATGAACATAGGGATGCATATATCCTTTCTGATTGGTGTTTCTAGCTTCTTGGGATATATTCCTAGAAGTGGGATCACTGGGTCAAATGGGAGTTCCGTGTTTAGTTTTTTGAGGAAACTCCATACTGTTCTCTCTTCATGTGCTTTTGTTTTGTTTTGCATGACTTAATGTTACATAATGCACTGTAACAACTCTGGCATAAAACCTACCTTGTTTTTGTTGTTGCTCTTTTTTTTTTTTTTTCACTTGTTGCTTATTTGTTTAGCAGCATTTCTGTCTAACTCTGTATATTCTCAGTTCCCCTGCAGTTTGTGGCCACTGAATTCTTCAATACCCTCTTTTTTAAAAGTTCTCTTTCAATTCTTAAGCCTGGCTTCCTTGGATACCATTGGATATTATTCAGTATAATTCAGTGATCAGATAATGATCAGTAGGAAAGTTTCCTTTGTCAAAGCAAAACTTTCACTGGACAGTTAAACAGACCAGGAAAACTTTATTCAAGGCTATTTATTACAATAAGAGAGAGAGAGAGAGAGAGAGAGAGAGAGAGAGAGAAGAAGAAGAAGAAGAAGAAGAAGAAGAAGAAGAAGAAGAAGAAGAAGAAGAACTCCTCAATTTGAACTCAACTTAATTGAAACAAATGTTGTAGAGGTATTTTTGTTTGCTGGTATGTTTTTTTAAAGAATTTTTATCAATTTTTAGAGAGAGGGAGAAAGAGAAACTTCAATATGAGAGCAGAGCATTGATCTGCTGCCCCCTGCCTGCCCCCTACTGGGATTGTGTCCTGACCAGCAATCTTCCAGTGCATGGGAAGATGCTTAACCAACTAAGCCACACCCACCAGGGCTTTTTAAAAGATTTTTTTATTGAAGGTCTTAGAGTTCTTGACAACTGGAGTGGGGCATTCATAGGTCTCCTGTGTTTGCTAATTGGCCTTACTCGAAGGAAAAGTTAATTGAACCTGCTGTCATGACAGGAGGTTTTAAGTTGGAGCAAGGAGACCCTGCTGAAGTTATGCTCCTTGTCACCCTTATAGAGACTCTGGACAGGGCACTGTCTTCCTTGCTGATTACATTTCAAAGGGAGAGCTCCCAGGTCCCTGGGAAAGACTTATTTGGGTTGTAAAACCAGAAAGAGTCTGAGTCTTTTTAAAAGATTTATATCTCAAAGGGTCACAGAAAGAACAGTTAAAATTTTCTAAACTAAATGCTCTAAAGCAGTGGTTCTCAACCTGTGGGTCACAACCCCTTTGGCGGTCGAACGACCCTTTCACAGGGGTCGCCTAAGACCATCCTGCATATCAGATATTTACATTACGATTCATAACAGTAGCAACATTACAGTTATGAAGTAGCAATGAAAATAATTTTATGGTTGGGTCACAACATGAGGAACTGTATTTAAAGGGCCAGAAGGTTGAGAACCACTGCTCTAAAGGGAGGTCAAGGTCGGGTTCTAGAGTCAGGAAGAAGCCTGCCTAAGGTTTAGTCAAGCTGAGCAAAATGTTAAAGCCACCTTAGTCACCTTAAATGCCTCTGTGTCTTTCACCCTTTTGCCAAGGGCATAAGTGGGCACAGATTCAGACTTCAGGCAGTTTGTAAGACAGCGTTACCTTTCACTGCCTGTTTGAATGCAGCCAGAAGTTAAGTCACTGGAAACTTCTCCTTTCCTGGTTTTTTCTTGGGCATGCACTATGCAGTCTTTACGATCCCCAGGAAATGGAGGAACTTGACAAAGTTCTCTGTGGTGGTGGTGGACACGCTGGCTTCTCCATCCAGCCCTGCTGCTGGCGTTGTAGGCTGATTCCCCAAGACCTCGTCCTTTTTCTGGCTCACATGTGGCTCAATAAACCTTGTTTTCAGAAAAGCTTTTGGCTGTGAACTTTTGTTGTTGTTGATTGTTTGTTTGTTTTTAAACAGTTTCTAATTCTCCAGGATTTACTTTTAAATTACCAGCCAAGCTTTTGTTTGCCCCAACTGAAACCACAGCCTGAGCACCTGTGATGTTGCCAGAAAATTGTTACTGTTTTAGTAATTCCCTGTGTGTGGGTGTTTTCTCTCTCTGCTGAATTGAGCTCCAAGTCTAATCAAATAGCCACCACGCCCTGGGAAGGGAGATTTTCCAGGGGACTGGAAGTTAGAAATAAACATTTTATTGTGCAGTGGGGATGGAGCTTTTAACAAAGCTTCAAAAAAGGTCAGACCTCTCATTTTGCTGCAAGACTGCTGGCTTTTGGTGCCACTGAGCTAGAGAAGGGTTGGGCTACAAATAGACCAAGTTAAAATCCCATATAACTCACTGTCTTGCCAAGATTTAGTAGTTGCTCCTGGAGAGACGATTTTTCACTTCTTTCTGTGTCTGGTTAATTTCTAGAGTTCTGAAATGGTCAATAGCAAAGTTGTTCGCATCTCCACATTCCATCCATCCTTACTGTACATCCCTGCCTTATGTCAGGCATTTATTATCTCTCACTCAGACATGTGCACACACGCACACAATCTCCGTCCATTTTGGGATTCACTGTGGTGTGAAATATTGGAAGTTACCTAAATGGGTCCGTTTCCACAACAATAGCTGGCTTCTTTTCCTGACATCATTTATTGAATCAGCCATCTGTGTCTACTGATTTGCAGTGCTGCATTCAGCAAATATTTGTGTTGCCTCATATACTAGTATCTGTTAATTGACTTTCTCTTTTGTTCCACTGATTTTTCTCTCACACGTTTGTATTTTCTGACTAAGGCTGCAGGCGAAGATCCACTTTCAATCAACAAATACTTAAACATCTTTTCTATATATTTGCTTCTGTGTGCAAAATTGATTCTGCTTTTTGAGGAGTTGCATGGGAGAGTGAATATTACCAAAAAAGCTATAGTCATATATACTTTTATTTGGATCCCAAATCTGTCTTCTTGCTGTTTAAGTGACTTTTGACTAATTATCTAACTTCTCTGAGCCTCAGTTTCCAAACAGTACAAAATGGTAAAAGGAACCTTTCTTGTGAGGTAGTACGACAGTACACATGAAAGTAACCAATATAATACCTGGAATAGAGTAATTGTTCCATAATTACATCAGTCCTACCCCCTTTCCCTACTCCCATATGGACAGCTAGTTAACTAGATTTTTAAAAGTTTTTTTTTTAATTGATTTTTAGAGGGAGAGGAAGGGAACAAAACATTGATCGACTGCCTCCTACATGCCTCCTACTGGGGATTGAGGACGAAACCCAGGCATGTGCCCTGATCAGGACTGGAATTGAAAAGTCAACCTCACAGTGCATGGATAATGCCCAACCAACACAGCCACATTGGCCAGTGCTAGATTTTCTTTTAAGAAAGGAAATTTACATTTTAGGTGATGCCATATCTCCAATTGTCTGGTTCTGAAGTTCACTGGGCCTCTTAGCGTCACTATTAAACAGCAGATGCTTTCAGGGAAGAAGTTCTCTGGCTAAAATTGAGCCCCGTTGCCGCCTCATGCTCCAGGCTGAAGCTAGGCTCCTTAATGAAGTTCCATGGATGTCAATCCTCAAATTCACCTTCTTCCCCTTCTTTGTTCCCCTCCAACCAGAGCTGTGCAGGAGGTGACGCATCAGCGAGGGGTTGTCATTACCCGCTCCACGTTCCCTTCTTCTGGCCGCTGGGCAGGACACTGGCTGGGAGACAACACAGCTGCATGGGACCAGCTGAGGAAGTCTATCATTGGTGTGTGGCTTATCCCAGGGGCTTCTGCTGGCGGGGAAGAGCCTGGGGATGTTTGCTCCTCATCTGCATGGGTTGTGTCTAATCATCATGCTTGTAGACAGTGTGATCAACAGGTGCTGAGTTCTCTATTGGTGTGTGTTTTAATCTATACCCATCTTTTTATTTGTTCATCATGACTGGCCCAAGGCTTTCAAATGGGGGACAGAAGAGACAGGGCAAACCTACCCTCCCAAAGGACTGCTTAGTCCAACACAGCTATGTCTTCTCATTGCAGGCATGATGGAGTTCAGTCTCTTTGGAATACCTTATGTAAGTCACATTGGGGCCATTACTAATGACCCAGTCAGATTCAGTGTGTCTGCACCTACAACAGTCCCACCTCTTGCCCTGATTTTGCATCTTCTCAGACAGGAGCAAATATCTGTGGATTCTTGGGAAATGCTGAATATGAGATGTGTCTTCGCTGGATGCAACTGGGGGCGTTTTATCCATTTTCCAGGAACCACAACACCATCGGGACAAGGGTGAGGCAGCAGTTTATGCCCCAGGTGTTTTGTGTCCTCAAATCACAACTTTCTTTTTAATGCTCAAAAGTATCATAATTATTTGTTGAGAAAACTCATAAAAATCAACAGAATCTCCATTTCTTAAGAAAACCCACAGAGTTAATAAAAAGAACTATGATTACCAATGATTTTCAAGAATATACTTTTCCTCATCTTTTGGTGGAATAGTTGATAGTGCCCCATGGGGCTGAAATAAAAGAAATTTCCTTTCTCTTTAAAAATAGTGAGTATTTTGCTCAAATCCATCCAAGATAGGTTAGTACCTCATAGAGACTCATCTCTCTACACATGTGCAGGGTCAAGACTAGACCTGAGCAGGAGACTAAGGAGCCCATGATAGAGAGGAAGAAGCAGGACACTCTAGTTTATTAAGGTGGTGGGAGTGGGGGAAAGGATAGGCTAGAAATGAAAGGAGAAATGGTGTGTAGCCTAACCATGGGACATGTGCCTTCAGGTACTTTTCTGATACCATTAGGATAGAGTAAAAAAGAGGTGATCTGTGTGATATGCTCCTTTATCCCCTTAGAGACAAGATCCTGTGGCCTGGAATTCAACCTTTCAGACGTACTCAAGAAAAGTCCTCCAGACCAGATACACCCTGCTGCCTTACCTCTATACTCTGATGCACAAAGCTCACGTTGAGGGCAGCACTGTTGTCCGCCCTCTCCTCCATGAGTGAGTAGAGCCTGTTTCCCCAAGCAGCAGGTCTGGGCATGTTGTATGAATAACCCTCTGCAACAGTCATAACAATCTGAGTAGACATTTTATGCCTGTTTTTTAAGGTTTAGAGAAGATAGGACAACGTGGGATATAGACCGTCAGTTCATGCTGGGCCCTGCCGTCTTAATCAGCCCCGTGCTGACAAGTGTGAGTTCCCATCATAGATCATAGACCCTCCAATCTCATATAGGAAACAGGAAGGGCATTTGAAAGATCATCTTGTTCAGCTCACTACTTCTAGAATATTTCAGGGAAATCCTTTTCTTTTTTTGAGGTCTTTGTTAATGAAAACTTAACATCTTCAATTAACTTCTTATTTTAATGTCTTGTCACCTTGCATCCTTATAAAGTTGACCTTTTTAAGAAAAAATATTTTTCTGTGTGTTTGAAATGAATTTCCTGGGTTCTTTCTTAATAAAATTACCCAAAACTCTTAAAATCATTAGTGAAATTCCGATTTTCATGTTAATTCTACAGAATTTTAAAAATTAAAGTGACATTATTGAGATATTTGTAATGACCTGTTGGTTTTCTGTTTCAGAATACTTTTGAGGTCCATGCTTATTTCCCCAGAGCCCGTTGGTATGACTATAGCATGGTAAGAACTAACATGTTTTGTGAAGAACCAGGTTGGTCTATGCAGGTTAGGAAGTTGTCTCCTGAATTCCAGGCACCTATTTTATAAAGCAATAATTTTCAACTTTTCAGTCCTGCAAGATTTCTTTAAATAAAAGTGTCCATAAAATGCCCTAACACGTACACGGTATTGTCCCCTGTGCCAAAAAGTTGCTGGTTCAATTCTTGGTCAAGGCACATGCCCAAGTAGAGGGCTCCCCCAATTGTAGGGGGGGGGGGCGTGTGGGAGGCAGCCAATCAATGTTCCTCTCTCACATTTATGTTTTTCGTTCTCTCTTTCTCTCTCTCAAAAAAAATCAATAAAAAATATCCACAAAATCATAACTAGGTAAAATCTGATACCCATATCACATTGAGTTCTCCCCCACACCCTACCTTTTCTGGAGAATAAAGAGAAAAGACTAGATTTCCAGAGTTTTCAGCAAAGCTGAAAATCAGAGATTTTCTTTTTCGATTTGCAGTATTTTTTAAAAATATATTTTATTGATTTTTTACAGAGGAAGGGAGAGGTATAGAGAGTTAGAAACATCGACCAGCTGCCTCCTGCACACTCCCTACTGGGGATATGCCTGCAACCATGCCCTTGACTGGAATCAAACCTGGGACCTTTCAGTCCGCAGGCCAACACTCTATCCACTGAGCCAAACCGGTTAGGGCTCAATTTGCAGTATTTTGATAACTTTCCAAAAACACTTCCTTGGGAAGGAAGGACTTGTTGTATAGCATGCATTCATTTCATCCATCTATTATAGATGCTTGCTTGCATTCTCCATTCTAGGAATCTGGCAATACATCGACAGGTGAGTGGAGAATCCTGAAGGCTCCCCTTGACCACATCAACCTTCATATCAGAGGAGGCTACATCTTGCCTTGGCAGGAGGCTGCAATGAACACTCACTCCAGGTAAGAGAGAGAGGCAGTGTCTGATGGCCTCACTTTGACACAGTGAGGCAGCCTCATGGGGGCTGGCCACCGCAACTGGGGCTCTGTGGATAAAAATCCAAATCACAGGCAGTTTCACTGCTTTGGTTCTGTGAGTGCCTTCTGAATGGGACCTGGGGTAGGATGAGTTCATGAAGTTAGGCTTGGGGAGATCATTTATCTGTAGCGCTGCATCAGAGGTCCAGGACAAAAATTTGCTGGGGCAGCAGCATATACTTCTTTCTATACTATTAAAAAATTGAGAAATATTGATGAGCTCTTTGATTTGTGATAGCTATACAGGGATTTAGTGCTCACTCCCATTCAGCTTGGGTTGACCCAGAAGAGATTTTATATATATATGAAATAATAAAAGCGTAATATGCTGATTAGATGGGACAGCCGAACGACCTTCCGGACGTCATTTCGGATGTCCTTCTGGATGAAGCCACAGCAGCAGGGGCTGAGGCAGAGGCAGTTAGGGGTGATCAGGCAGGCAGGCAAGCAGTTAGGGGCAATCAGGCAGGAAGGCAGAGTGGTTAGGGGCAATCAGGCAGGCAGGTGAGTGGTTAGGGGTGATCAGGCAGGCAGGCGGAGGTGGTTAGGGCAGTCAGGCAGAAAGGCGAGCAGTTAGGGTCAATAAGGCAGGCAGTCAGAGCAGTTAGGGGCGATCAGGCAGGTAGGCAGGTATGCAGTTAGGAGCCAGCAGTCCCGGATTGTGAGAAGGATGTCCAAGTGCCAGTTTAGGCCAAGTGCTGATTGGGCCTAAACTGGCAGCCAGACATTCCCCGAGGGGTCCCAGATTGAGAGAGGGTGCAGGCTGGGCTGATGGACACCCCCTCCATGCATGAATTTTGTGCATTGGCCCCCCTCACCTCTCTCTCTCTCTCTCTCTCTCTCTCTCTCTCTCTCTCTCTCTCTCTCCCCCCCTATCTAATAATAGACAAACATGGTAATTAACCATACCTCTGACACGCTTCCCATTGGCTAATCAGGGCAATATGCAAATTAACTGCCAACCAAGATGGTGGCCGGCAGCCAAGCAGTTGAAGCGAATAGGAGGCTTGCTTGCTCCAGTGATGGAGGAATCCAAGGTTCTCCGCCTGCCGCCGCCCAGCTCTGAGCTGCACTCTAAGCAGCTATGTTGCAATTATAGAAGCTAAACAATCCCCAGAAACCTGCTTTCAGCCAGCCAGGCCTCAGAGCTGGAGTTGCAACAGTGTTTCAATTATAGAAGCTAAACAAAGCCCAGATACATGCTTTCAGCAGCCGAGGTCTCAGAGCTGGAGCTGAGCCTCAGAGCTAAAGCTGGCTCTCAGCTCCAGTGACAGCCATAGAAGGTAAATAAATCCCAGGATAAAAAAAGAAAAAAGAAAAAAAGGAGAGGTTGGGAGCTTCAGTCACCCGCCAGCCTGAAAACGGCCCTCAGCCCCTCACCCAGACTGGCCAGGCACCCCAGTGGGGACCCCAACCCTGAAGGGAGTGTGACCAGCTGCAAACAGCCATCATCCCCTCATCCAGGCTGGCCAGGCACACAAGCGGGACCCCCACCCTGATCCAAGACACCGTTCAGGGCAAACCAGCCAGCCCCCACCCGTGCACCAGGCCTCTATCCTATATAGTAACAGGGTAATATGCATACTGACCCTAACAGCAGAAAGACTGGGAATGACTGGTCTCTGTGACACACACTGACCACCAGGGGGCAGACGCTCAATGCAGGAGCTGCCCTCTGGTGGTCAGGGTGCTCTCACATGGGAGGAGCTCTTTTCAGCCACAAGCCAGGCTGATGGCTGCCAGTACAGTGGTGGTGGTGGGAGCCTCTCCTGCCTCCTCAGCAGCGCTAAGGATGTCCGACTGCAGTTTAGGCTTGCTCCCCTCTGGCAAGTGGACATCCCCCGAGGGCTGCCGGGCTGCCAGAGGGATGTCTGATTGCCATTTTAGGCCAAATCGCCTGGGGAGCGGGCCTAAGCCAGCAGGTGGTCATCCCCTGAGGGGTCCCAGACTGCGAGAGGGCACAGGCCGGGCTGAGGGCCCCCCCCCTCCCCGAGTGCACAAATTTTTGTGTACTGGGACTCTAGTATATATATTATACATACATATCATATCATATTAAGAAGAACCTGTTATATCAAGAGAGTCAACTCAAAAGGAGAGAAGTTAACTTTAAATCTTGTGCAAAGCATGGTTTTATATGAAAGAGGGCTTTGAGCTGAGTTTGGATAATAAATAGGATTTGAGTGTTTGAAAATGAGGGAAAGAGATATTCTGAGAGAATTAAAGAACTGAAGTTGAAACATTAGTTGGATTTGGGGAATAGTCAACCATTCAGTAAACTGGAGCAAGATAAAAGAGAGGGATAAAATAAATAAAGTTCAAACAGGTTAGGATGAGGTCATGGAGAATTATGAATGCTAGGATAAGTATGCTGCATTTTATTCTGCAGCAATATGGAAGTTACTGAAGGATGTGTTTTGTTTTTATTTTATTTGGGGCAGGGTGTCTTCTTTCTATAAAGAAGTAGTTTTGCCCTAGCCGGTTTGGCTCAGTGGATAGAGCATCAGCCTGCAGACTGAAAAGTCCCAGGTTTGATTCTGGTCAAGGGCACATATCTGGGTTGCGAGCTTGATCACCAGCAGGGGGAGTGCAGGAGGCAGCCAATCAATGATTCTCTCTCATCATTGATGTTTCTATCTCTCTCTCCCTCTCCCTTCCTCTCTGAAATCAATAAAAATGTATTTTAAAAAAGTAGTTTCTTATCATATTACTTATAATATGTATATGAGTAAAGGATGTGTATTTAATTTTTGAAAGTTGAAGTTTTGCCAAATATTTTATTAAATTTTAAATATTTTCCCCATTAGCTTTTAATTATTTTGTATTTTATCTCATATTATGTATTTATGGAGCTTTCTGTGCATTTTAAAGCTATTATCTTATTTTCCTGGATTAATCATATTTTTCAATAGAATCTATCATTTATTTGTACAGCTTACAATCTAGAGGAAAATAACTTTTTTTTTTCATAGTCGACAACTATTTATGGGATTGATTGTTGCTTTGGATGACAATGGGAAAGCTGAAGGCCAGATGTTCTGGGATGATGGACAAAGCATTGGTGAGTTTAGACTTTCCAAGGTCCCCATACATCATTCAGAAAAATCACATGGCTCAGGATATAATTGGAATTAACTGAAAATCTATCTATTTTTGCTACTCTTAATAAAGTAAGAGCATTGCTTGAGCTTTTTGTGTTATAATAAAAAATATTGCTAAGTCGAAGGTCACAAAGATTTACCCTTTTTTGTTCTCTAAGAGTTTCATATTTTAAGCTCTTATATTTAGGTCCTTGAACCATTTTGTGTTAATTTTTGTATATGGTGTGAGGCAGGGGCTCCAAGTTTGTTCTTTGCATGTCGATATTGAGTTGTTCCAGTCTTTTTGTGAAAAGATTTTTCTTTCACCATTGAATTCTTTTGGTACCCTTGTTGAAAATCAATTGACTTTAAATGTGAAGGTATATTTACATAATTGAGGACACAGGAAAAAAACTTCACATTTAAAAGATATATAATCTTTTTAATTCATTCATTCTTATGCCAGTACCACTCTGTCTTGAGACAGTTACTTTGAAGTGAGTTTTGAAATCAGGAAATCAACTTTCCTCTTTTTCAAGAAAATGCTTTTTTAAAAGCAGGTTTCCTCTACCTCAATAGTATTGACATTTTAAGCTATATAATTTATTGTTGCTGGTGGTGGCTGGGCTGTTACTTTAAAATGTTTAGCAGCATCCCCACCCTGTACCCACTAGATGCCAAAAGCACTCCCCTTTTGTAACAACCAAACATGTCTCTAGATATTGCCAAATGTTCCACCAGCAAAATCACTGCTAGTATGTTATGGAAATCTAGAGTCTTTTTCTACATCTTGAGCTGATTAGGACTAGATGATGTCATAGTGGGTTAATAACAACACAGTTAGGGTATGAAATCAGCCCCCTATGAGCAATATATTAAGAGGAAAACCAATTTCCTATAAAATTTTAGGTTTCTATAACAAATATGTTTCAATCTCAAGGTTAAAAATCACTAGTTCCTGCAAGTTTTAAGCTTTTCAACTTCTATAGAGAAGCTCTTTGCTTCACCAAACAGACTTCTAAATTCAAATTTAAAGTAGCAAGATACAGTGTAAGTATACATTTGATTGGAATTTTCTGTTAACAGGTTTGTAACTATTTGTTAAACTTTTTCTTTCTTACATAAGATTTAATAGCTAGTTCAAGGATTATTTTAAACCCCCCATATTAACAGAATCCAATCCTTTAAAAATTCTTTAAAACTGCTAAAAGAGACTATAATATTTACTTAGGGTACATATTCTAGCCAAGACCAAATTTTAAAATAGGGTTTCATAATTGTTTGTTTCCATAAGAGTTGGGGTAATTTAGAAAACAAAGAAGAGGCTTTGTCGGTTCAGGGAGAGAATATGTTGTAATAACAGTAAGAGATGGAATGTTGACAAGGGCCAAGATAAGAACATGATGTGAAACTGACTTTTACAAAATAGGAGGTATAGAAGCCATATGATGAGGATGAGTAAAGTGGACATCAACTGGGAAATATTTCAAGGAGATGTGTGGGCAGGAGATCATATGGAGAGATATTTAGATTTGATATACCATGTCACTATCACTGGTGACTTTGAAAGGTCCAATTCAATGAAAAAAGGAAATAGGAGCTGAAGTGTAGGAGATGTAGGATTGGATTATGAGTTGAGTACACAGACATAACAAGCAGAGGCTACCTTTTTTGAGACATGGGCACTAGAAAGGAGATATGATAACTTGATGTAGAGAGAATCAAGTTAAGGATTTGTCAGAATGAAGTGCTCTGGAGCATAATTGGAGCTTGGAGGAACAAGGAGAATATGGAGAAGAACTGGTGGAGTAATTCCTGGGAGGCAAGAGGGCTTGAGATATAGAATGCTATGGAAGGATAAGCTAAGAGTAGAGACAGAATAATAAAGATGAAGATTACAATAACTGATGATGATATTGAAAAACAAATTTTGAATACTTATTATGCACAAGCAACATGTTCTGTTCTTTATTGCCATGAGTTAGTCCTATTTTTTGTCTTCATTTTATGGTTGATAAAATGTTAAGTGACTTGCCTGAGATTGCACAACTACTAAGTGCAAGAGTGGGGATTTGAACCCATGCCAATCTGACTTGAGAGTCTGAATTCCTAACTGCTCTCCTCTGCTTATCATCATATCCATGTGAGCTCTCATGGCTATGTGCTTGCTATGTTGGCACAGAAAACAACTGATCAGTAGCCTTCACATTTTTTCACCTATGATAGAAGACCTTAGTTCAACCCAGGTTCTTTGGTCTTTGCAACCTCCTGACCCTTACCTCAAAACACTCTCTTTCATATGCACATCCCCACACCAACTTAGAGTGAAATATTCCCTCAGCTCCTGTTTTTAGTGCTCCTCAGAGAATTCAAGATTATCCTGATCAGTAATTGTGATCCCATTGAGGCATTTTCTGACTCCATGTAAGATTATCTGCAGCAGTTGAAGTAACAAATAGTTGTTTAATCTATTTTCTTGGTTGCAGATACCTATGAAAAAGGAAACTATTTTTTGGCAAACTTTACAGCAAGTCAGGTAAGACTTTTAAAATTGAATTGTATAAATCCTCTTCCAGTTAGCTACAGATTAAGCATTATTCATTAAATGTATGGATATAATATCCCATGTCTTAATAGGAAGACCTTCCTTCCTTTATAAATCAGGTCTGTTGACATTAAAATAAGGAAGAAACAGTCCTTATTTTGATAATTATCCAATATACTATCACTCTATAAAAAGAAACTTGTCATTCATATTATACTGTGGGGAGGAGAGAGGTGAGTCCTTATATGTATAACATGTTTCCTGGGATTGAGACAGCATTTTCTGGCTAATAAAATTTTGAAGGATAAATGCTACATCTGCTACTCATTGCACAACAAACAACCCCAAAACTTAAGCAGTATGTAACAATCAATACTTATTTAGCTCATGAGTTTATAATGTTCAGTTGATCTGGGCTGGAGTTGGCTAATCTTGGCTGGCTTACCTAGATCTGCAATCAGTTGTGGTACTGTTAGGCTGCTTGGATGATCCTGGCTGTATTCACTCACATACCTTGGGGTCATATGGCTCTTGAGTGATCTAAAATGGCCTTATGGGCAAGTCTGGGCATGACCTTTCATGATTGTAAAAAAGGGGAAAAACAGAAATGCCTGAGAACTTCTTAAAATTTCCATTTGCTTCAAGTTGACTAATATCCCATTAGTAAGTCACATGACCAAACCCAGACACAAGGTAGGATAGAATGCCCCACCAGAGCAGGAGTGTATTACAAAATTATATGGAAAATGGTATGGATAAGGAGGGGTAAATAATTTGAGACAGTGATTCAATCAATCTACCATGCATGTTTTATTATTCCATGGATAACCTACAAAATTCTAATTAGAGTAGGAAGATCATTTTATGTCAAACCTGGAACCTTCTTTCATTTGTTCCCCATTGATTTGAACTAAGGAATAGTATAACACAAATCTATTGTGTCTCTTATACATAATTAGAGGCCTGATGCACGAAATTCATGAAAGAGTAGGCCTTCCTTCCCCTTGCTGCTGGCACCGGCTTCCCTCTGGCACCTGGGACCCGGGATTCCCTCCAGCACCCAGGACCTGGGCTTCCCTCACAGCCCCAGCTTCATCCAGAAGGTCATTGGGAAGGATGTCTGTTCTAATTAGCATATTATGCTTTTATTATTATAGATAGTGCTTCAAGTATGTGACAATGTCTGACATATATCCTTTCTGTTCTCTCTTCTTGGAATCATAACTTCCAGGGAAACTTTCTCTATTTTGTGTTTAAACTAGTTTTCAGATCTGATTATTCTGTTGGACTACAATTAGTATAGATTTGTCTTAAAACATGTTACCTAGGATGGAGAGACTATCTTAGACCTGCACTATCCAATATGATAGCTACAATAATATTGGATATCATCAAATTTATTGTAGCTGGTACTCAGAAAGTAGTCCTCATGAAATGTTTAATTAAAAATAAACAGCAAACCAGTACAATAGTAATTTGAGGCTTAACATTTTAATATGGAATATAGGCAATCAACAGATATATGTTTTTTATTTTTATACATTTCTTATAGAACATATTGCAAATCCAGACCATGCACAATAACTATTTGAATGATTCAAATCAACTGAAAGTTGGATATATTAAAATCTGGGGGATCCATTCTACTTATGTGACACAAGTCAATGTCACCTATAACAACAAGCAATTCACGACAACGAATTTCATGAGTGACCCCTACAATCAGGTATGTCTCAAAGGAATGTTGTTATGTCATAAATTAATTTTATTCTGCAAAGTTACCACCACTATTATTATCAGTTATATTTACTTATATTTGAAAGGTTATAGACATATACAATAGATATGTTCCAGAAAAGTTGCAACTATTAAATTATATTATAAAATATAAAATATTAGTGGTCCTCCCCAGTGTAATCAAGGGAGCAATGATCAATGGTGTGATGAAATCCTTTCCATTGGTTTCCCAAAGAAACTATGCTATGTGTTAAGTTTGGTTTCCCAGGCTAGTATAACAAAACCTATGTCTGTGGCAGAGGCTCAAACAAAGAAAAGAGTTATCTAATAAAATTGTTATTGGAAATTTTTCTCCCTTCTTCCTGAAATTACTCACATCCTTGGTCAAATCAATAGATCTCATAAGTTGGTGAAAATTGGCAGAAAATTGGTGGTAATCATAAAAATGAATATATGCTACCTGCGATGTGAGATCAATTATTTGGTTAATGGCCACAGCCAACTAATTGAAGACAGATTACAAGTAGAGTTATTAAGAGTAACAGCAGAAGGAAAAGTATCCCACTTTTGAACACTAGATCTATTATAAATATGGATTCAGTAACTCATAGGGAGTGGTTTAGAAAGGTAAAAATGGATTATTCTTGTTTTCTACATGATAAAAAGAGTGTCCTGCTGGTACTTGAATTTTGGACAATGACCCTCTGAACATTCAAACAGATCCTCTTTCTCCAATCTCATTAATTTTTTTTAAGTCACTAAGAATTGATTTTTTAAATAATTTTGTTTATTTTCAATTACAGTTTACATACATTATTATATTAGTTTCAGGTGTACAGTTTAGTGATTAGACATTACATAACTTAGTAAGTGATCATTCCAATAATCTTACACCCATCTGACACCATACACAGTTATTGACTATATTCCCTATGCTATATTTTATATCATTTAGTTCTCTACTTCAGAACATTTTTCCTGAACTATTGATCTCAAAACCACCCTTTGCAAGTAAATACTTACAGTTAAGACTGATACAGAAGATTTTTGAACACTTTCTTTTGGGGAAAGTTTGTAGCATATCAGATGCGCATTTGTTAAGTGCTGGTCTCAACCTATCAATAACCAAGGTTGTGGCTGGACCAGCTCATGTGGTTCTTATTATGAGTAAAAGATGTTTTTCAGCAATAATCATCAGGAAACTTTGAAAAGATACAAGCTTATAACTTATATAAGTACTGGAAATTTCACAGCACACCTGGGTCCATACAAGGAGGTCCTGGGGCAGTTGTGGGGGGAGGGGGGAGTCGAGAATGGGCAAGAGCCTAGAGTTCAGCTTTTTTGGGGGTGGGGGTAGGGACCTAGGGCTTCCAGGGTTCACTCTTTATTGGTGAATTTGACACATGGTGAATTTCAAGCTTGAGAAGAGAAACCAATAAGGGGACCAAGTGATCAATTATTGAAATCAATCAAGATCCGGAAACAGGAGCTTCCCTGGGCTGGAAACAGATGTCTCTTTGAAATGGACAAATCTGTCAGTTGAAGTTTAACTGAGGCACTTGCCTTACAAAAAAGAAACAAAAAGAAGAAAAAAAAAGAAATCCAAATCTCAGGGTTTACACTACACTATTATGTGCCAGGCAGTATACTCTGTGTTGGGGATGGTAAAAACATGAAAACAGCCTGCCTTCAGGAAGGTTAAAATCGGTGGCAAAACAAAGATATTTTTCTGAGCATTGGTTTTAATCAAATATGCAAATTCTTGAGCAGTGTAGTTCTGACTAAATGAAGTAGAAAGACACATTTCTGGCACAGGGATTATGCCCACAGCACATCTCTCTATAGACATCTGTCTGGAATCAATGTGACCTGAAAAGGAACCTTCTGTTACTCTCTGGGGGAAAAATGAACACATCATTTGTTGTTGTTAAATGTGATGTTTAAGAGTTCTAAAATACCAATGTTATCTCTTCTTTTCTGGCAGACACTAACTATTCAACTGACTGACAAGATTTTCAGGCTGGAAAAGTTAACTGAGGTCACTTGGAGTCACGATGTTCCCGACATTACTACTACACCTATGACGAGTACCTTCTCATCAACATCTCCAGTTCCTACATCTACTATTATTGCTACCATTTCTGAGTCTATTGTCACTAGTTTTGCTTCAAGTACTAGTTCTGCTAGCAATAGTACTGCCTCTCCTACTATAACCACTTCTTTCCCAACAAGTACTATTGAAGATACACCTGGTACTATTGTTCCTAGTACTCCTTTCCCTACAAATACTCCCACTGCTAGCACTGGTACTGCCTTTCCTATCCCAACCACTAATACAACTACTCCTTTCCCTACAAATACTCCTTCCCCTATAACTACTACCACTGTTAGCACTGGTACTGCCTTTCCTATCCCAACCACTAATATAACTATTCCTTTCCCTACAAATACTACCACTGCTAGCACTGGTACTGCCTTTCCTATCCCAACCACTAATACAACTACTCCTTTCCCTACAAATACTACCACTGCTAGCACTGGTACTGCCTTTCCTATCACAACCACTAATATAACTACTCCTTTCCCTACAACTATTCCTTTCCCTACAAATACTACCACTGCTAGCACTGGTACTGCCTTTCCTATCCCAACCACTAATATAACTATTCCTTTCCCTACAAATACTACCACTGCTAGCACTGGTACTGCCTTTCCTATCCCAACCACTAATATAACTATTCCTTTCCCTACAAATACTACCACTGCTAGCACTGGTACTGCCTTTCCTATCACAACCACTAATACAACTACTCCTTTCCCTACAAATACTACCACTGCTAGCACTGGTACTGCCTTTCCTATCACAACCACTAATACAACTACTCCTTTCCCTACAAATACTACCACTGCTAGCACTGGTACTGCCTTTCCTATCACAACCACTAATACAACTACTCCTTTCCCTACAAATACTACCACTGCTAGCACTGGTACTGCCTTTCCTATCACAAACACTAATACAACTACTCCTTTCCCTACAAATACTACCACTGCTAGCACTGGTACTGCCTTTCCTATCATAACCCCTAATACAACTACTCCTTTCCCTACAAATACTACCACTGCTAGCACTGGTACTGCCTTTCCTATCATAACCCCTAATACAACTACTCCTTTCCCTACAAATACTACCACTGCTAGCACTGGTACTGCCTTTCCTATCACAACCACTAATACAACTACTCCTTTCCCTACAAATACTACCACTGCTAGCACTGGTACTGCCTTTCCTATCACAAACACTAATACAACTACTCCTTTCCCTACAAATACTACCACTGCTAGCACTGGTACTGCCTTTCCTATCATAACCCCTAATACAACTACTCCTTTCCCTACAAATACTACCAGTGCTAGCAGTGGTACTGCCTTTCCTATCATAACCCCTAATACAACTACTCCTTTCCCTACAAATACTACCACTGCTAGCACTGGTACTGCCTTTCCTATCACAACCACTAATACAACTACTCCTTTCCCTACAAATACTACCACTGCTAGCACTGGTACTGCCTTTCCTATCACAACCACTAATACAACTATTCCTTTCCCTACAAATACTACCACTGCTAGCACTGGTACTGCCTTTCCTATCATAACCCCTAATACAACTACTCCTTTCCCTACAAATACTACCACTGCTAGCACTGGTACTGCCTTTCCTATCATAACCCCTAATACAACTACTCCTTTCCCTACAAATACTACCACTGCTAGCACTGGTACTGCCTTTCCTATCATAACCCCTAATACAACTACTCCTTTCCCTACAAATACTACCACTGCTAGCACTGGTACTGCCTTTCCTATCCCAACCACTAATACAACTATTCCTTTCCCTACAAATACTACCACTGCTAGCACTGGTACTGCCTTTCCTATCATAACCCCTAATACAACTACTCCTTTCCCTACAAATACTACTACTTTCACCACTGGTACTACTGGTCTTATTACCACTGCTCTTTCCCCAACAGATATCAATGTTACTAGCACTAATAATACGCTTCCGATTACAACTATTCCTTTTCTTACAAATACTGAGACTGATACTACTAGCATGGATTCAGTTACTACAAATGTTTTAAATACTACCACTGCTAGAAACACAAAAACAACTACAGCTATCACAACAGTTACTTTAATAACAAATGCTACTTCTGAACAAACTACTACTGTGATCATGTCAACTCTACCTCCTACAGGCACCCTTGGTATCACCACCACAGATAATGCACTGACCAGAATCAGTACCACTACTTATCCTCCAAATACCCCTACCCATGCTTTAAGTACCACATCCAGGAGCACTCAAAGCACCACCAATACAAATATTACCAGTATGACAACTGGTGTTACTGACATTATAAATACTCCCACTAGAAACAGCTCAGCTACTATTGCTCAAGACATTGCCACTTCCTCACATATGAACATTACAGATATTAAATCTACTACTAAAGTCACAGTGTATACTCCCACTATCACTACATCTGTTTTCAGCACAAAAACTACAAATTCAAACACTACTTCTGACACCATCTTTACAAACACTTACATTCCAAGTACCACAGCTATTCCCACCACCAATACTTTAAAGATTACAGAGCATTCAGAAAATATTGCTGATGCAGATAACTCCAGGAGTGTTTTTATTCCAAATACTACAGTAGCCTCAGATTCATTAACACCTTTTCTAGATACAGCAACTCACCATCATGTAACAACAAATTCTACAACTGGTTTTTTACCTCTTATTGTAACTAATGCTACCACAGCTATTACAAATGTTACCATTTATGTTTCAAATACTATTATTCCTGATAGAACACCAATGGATGTTGCAAACACCACAAATACTACTGTAGTTCCCTGATTACTACTCAAAGCAGGATAACTAGTACAGGAATCTTTTTAAAACAACTATTACAGATATAGAAAATCAATTAAGAGGTACATGATTTTATGCTACATAAATTTTCACAAATATCTGCACTACCTTTTACAGATATGGCTACTCCAAGCACTGTAGGCATTGAAGGTATATCTCAAGATGTATCCAGTACTTACTTTGTAACTATTTCTTTTGGAACCAGAATATATGCAACTATTTTTAAAATTATAACTCACATAGCCCCGTCAATTACACTACAGGTATTTTATGTATTTTACTACAGACTTCACAGATGATTTTGATATCCTTTAAAATACCACATTAAGCTCTATAAATACTGTTGCTTTAGATATAGTCATTGGAATCACCCAACTTGTTCTTGGTTTACAGGACATGATACTATAACTGAGAGCACTGGTGATACCAGACACTCAAATAATTGCTACAGCAGTAGTTATTAATACTATAGTACATTATTTAATTAGTAATGCTAAAAATCACACTTTAATTTCCTATGGACTTTTCCAAATACCATGGCTACCAATATCGTAATTTGCTATTACACAAACTGGAAGTATTAGTGCTTTTAAAGGAATCTTATTTGTAGCTATAAATAGAAAAAATGCTACCATTGTAGACTTTCTAAACACTCTGACTCCAGGAACTGAAATAACTAAATTAGGAATATTATAAGCTACTGTTACTATATTAGAAAATAAGAATATGATCATTGATGTTAAAAACATAACTTCCAAAACTTTGCAACCATTACTTCTGTAGGAACTACTGATACTCTTACTACAGATTTGAGAAGAACTTGTATTTATAGACATTAAAAGTACTCCCAGAGAAAAATTAATCTTACTTATGAGATAATCTTACACCCTTGCTGTTACCATTAATGGCTGGACTCACTTACACGGATCTAACTCTTTTATAGATCAGAAATCACCCAGGCGGATTTAAATCTGTAAAAATATGGCATAGAGGGGACAGTTTCTGTCCTGGCATCAGAGTTCATAATCTTATTTGCTTTTTATCTTATTCTCCAGCTTTTATTATTTTACTATAGACTCTCCTTCAAGGGGTTAGGACTACCAGCATGTTCTCTGTCTTTCATGTCCAAATTCACTATTTATCTTTGATCTATTACTGTGCTTTCTTCTATCACCCAGACTCCCTTGAATAGACTCATGGCTGAGTGCTAGTAAAGGATTAACTCTAGTACAGTATTTTCAAAATGTAGTTTGGGGACCCATGGAAGCCCCCAAAACTCTTCCCGAGGTGCACAAGGTCACATCTATTTCATAATATTATATTTGTTAGGTGCCTTTTTCACTTTCATTAGTATACAATGGCATTTTATAGAGATTCTATGCTGTGTGCTGTCACCATAGATGAATACAGAGACAGATACAAGAATCTAGTTCTCTTCTGTTCAACCAGGCACTAAACATATCTACAAAATATAAAATCATGTCATTCTTTTCACTTTTTTGCTTTGGAAAATATAGTTGTTTTTCATAAAACATATTATTTATGTTAACATAGAGTTGATATATTGTTATTTTGAATGAATGAAGAAAATATTTTACAAAATATTGTGCAAATGAGTCCCTTTTAATTTATAGTGCAGTAAATATGAATAGATATAACCCACCTAAGCAAAGCATGGGGTCTTCATTAAACTTGAATCACTTCCCCAGGGCAACAATATCCTAGTTTCACTCTCAGGTCCTGTTTACATATACTACGAACTTTCCCAGCATGTAGGAACCCCAGCACATGTAGCTTAAGGTTCTTATGACACACAGATGTCTACCAACTACTGTGAACACATTTGCACAGCGTTCTGACCTACTTCCATGGCTGTGCTATTGTCTGGATGGCTTGGTGTGTTCCACATGAGGGGCACAGATCATCAGTTAGTTTTACTTCCCTTTTGGAATCTACCCACAAATGACAGTCCTCTTGAAAAAATTGATAGACCCTACACTAGAGAATGCACAGCCCAATGCTTATAGAATGGATGGTTTGTGCAATAATTTTTTTTTACTACCATCTCCCAAGTTTTAAAACCAGATGTTTGACAAGGATTTTGGATCTTAATGGGTTTGTGGCAGGGAATGTGGAAAGGATTCATTGCTAATGTTTTGTCTAGCAATAAAGTAAGCAACTAAATGCTATAAGGAGCCAGCATTTAAGCTCTCAAACACACATGTATACAACACAATGCAGAAATACCCCGCACTCCTCCTGCAGGCTAATGAATGGCAACCTACTGAAACAAAACGGGTATTAACAAGAAAATGTAAAACCCAAGCTAGCAAATTTCTTTTTATTTACCACCCAAGTAAAAGAAATGGAAGATGAAACTATCACCAAAACCAACCTTTTTTTCCCAAACAAGTATAACGATAGTGCTGGGTTAGCAGTTCACTCTTTTATCCTACAAAACCCAAGAACCTCCTTCCTGTCCTGCAGATCTCCAGCCTCCGCAGCCTGAGATCTGTTTCTATATGAGGCTACTTGATAATGTAAATAAGCACCTTTTAAACCTATCAGCTCAAGCTAGTAAAACCTGTACTTCTATATTGCGCCGCCATTAAAAGCAGCATTAGTGCAAAAAAGACAAAAAAACCCCAAAAAAACAAAAAACACCATAGTTCTGTAGTTACTGAAATTCAATTCTTTGTGTATATAACTCGACAATGATTAAAGTATGGGGTTTTGAAAAGTAAGTACTCCTGAAAAAAGAAAACAACAACAAAACAGAACAAAGAAAAGCTGGACTTAACTTCAGAAGTTTGAAGACACTTGAGGATTGAAACGTGAAGTCTATGCACAAGGTGTGGTCCTGGAACCAGGCCGAAAATGTGGAGAGGGAAGAGATAGAATCAAGCATTGGCTGCTCCGACTCCTGAGCTGTGCTGGCTCCTGGGCTGCCATCAGACCCTAACACAGGCAGGGGACTCCATGGGACCAGTTCTGAGAGTATCACCTGCTACCAGGTTGGCGCAGGGACTATTACTTCAGGTGGATACTCCCTTCCTTCCCTTTCCTTGTCTCAGTTTGCTCATCTGTAGGGTGGAGTAAACATTGGAGCTGCAATGTTCATGGAAATGCATTTTCAGTCTGTAAAGGTCCCTGCAAGGTTTATTATGACTATTACGTAATCCCTCAAAGTGTTCTTATGTCTATTTAAACTTTTTCCTTCTTCTTCCCCGAGGCTTTCCTGATAGCAAAGCAGATTCTCCTTAGTGCTGGTCCTTTATAACAAGACTGCTATGAGCCCCTGGTTTCCAAACAAGTTTTGTAAAAGAAAACTGCTCTTTGAAGATGACTGTACTGTCTCAAACTGTGATTTGGGGGAAAAGGTTGTTTTTGTTTTGAGCTGGAAAAAAATGTTTCCCTGCTAAATTAAATAGTGCCCATCTTTCCTCATTATACAAAAGAATTAAGTTAATGGAAATTTATATTTTTCTCTTTTTTAAAATTTATCTTTATTGTTGAAAGTATTATAGATGTCCCCTTCCCCCCCCCCCCCCCATTCTCCCCCTCCACCCTTCCCCCATAACCTATGGTATTTTTCCTAAGCTTTTTATACTTGCTGCTATTCATATGTTGCCTTCTAGAGAGCTCCATTGAGGAAAAAATGTCTAAACAAATAACAGAGAATAAAATTTTTGAAATAGCCAATAGAGTTCATGTGGACTGCGTGTGTGTGTGTGTGTGTGTGTGCGCGCGCGCGCGTTCACGCACATTATGTTATATGGCAAACATATTTTCTGCCAGAAAAATTTCCTGTGGTTTGTGTGATGAAATTAAACTTATCAGTGTTTCATAATTTTCTTCAAAAAGCACTACTATTTGATGGTGATTCACTGAATGAATGTGAGCATTATTGCTTAGTGAGTCCTTGGTTTAGTCTTGCCCCTGAGTGAGACACTGAGTTTCACAGTATTCTCCCAAAGGTGACTTGTGTCCACCTGCTCTGGGGTGTGGCTGGTTGTTTCTCAGTTTACCTGCCTGTGGTTATGCTTCTGTTCACTTACATTTTGTCTAAATAGGGTATAAATATTGAAATACACACACGTGTTACAATCACAACATGGTGAAGAGGTTGTGAGGCGAGGTGGGTTAGTACTATGTTGGGAGGAGCCAGCAGCAGGTGTTTTGTGGCTGGAGGTTTTTTGATGACACTTGATGATGGAAAATCCTCAGAGAAGTTGACCTCAACCCAGACAGGGTTGCTTATTTGAGCACAAGATGCCTAAAGATCTTTGAGAAACTATCCAGGCTAGAAGTTGTATCATATGATAATTACCAAGAGTAAATCAAGGTATACTAATTTCAAATTAGACTGTAGGTTATAGTTTCTGGCCAGTTATAATTTATGATTATAACAAGTCCTACAACCTTCATGAAGATTTATATTTCTAATTCCAGCTTTATTTAGAGAAATAATCAAAGATAAATTGGTAATATAGATGACAGACAGTGTTATGGATGCAACACAAGTTTACTTCCAAATATATGCCCAGAAAAAAAGTGCAACTGAATTAAAACAGACTTGAGAGCCTATGTAGCTTTAAATTTCTAAATCATAAAAATTTTCCCTTAAGCCATATCTTTCTAATCTTCATCAGCACCCACATGCTTCTCCATAAGCTTACCCATTGAATTCTTGGGCAGAATTAATTTTAAAAAATTTTTTGATATGGAGATAACTTTTGACTTCTCAGATGTCTACTCATAAGCTTAAACTTCTCATCTTAAACCATCTTTCTGCTAGCCTTTCACTTTTTCAATGGTGGCTACTATTTTCCTACTAATTATCTTGATTAAAGTTCCCTGTTTCTCAAACATCCCTCTCATGACCTCTAGTTAAAAAATTTAAAACAGATTTTTTGACTTCTATTAAATGTAGATAATTAAATAAAATAGTTATTTAAATAATTTTCTATAGAAAGCTAGTGATT